TTCAAAATCCCTGGAAATATGTTATTGGGATCAAATATGTCCTCCAAAACTTTTTATTAACTTTCGCCCAGTGATAAGGTAACATCCAGATAACAGTGATATCTTCTGTCATTACTTACTATAAAAATCAACTATGCTATTTTTATTCCCAGTAATAAATTAATGCAATGGATTTTATACCTGTTTACAACTGAAAATAAAACTCAGACAAACTGGAGGGCTGGTTTAGCCTCAAAAAGGATAGGGGAAAACTCAATAGTTAAAATTAAATATGTATATTGAAACTCCAACCAAACTTGAACTGCTTTCAATATGATTTCCAAAATAAAAGGGCTGCTCTGACTAATCTGTGAAATATGGGGCTGGTTTTGCTTTCTCAGGGATGAAAGCAAGACAATCTGAGCATGCTTAAAGGCTCTTCCTAATTTTTTCACATGTAGCAAGTCTGAGATCTGGCACTTAAATGTCTGAGAAAGCACCAGTTCAAGTAAAGAATTGCTCCGAGCACAGAGAAAAACGTAGTTTAATTGTGGCATCTAATACATGGAAAGGTAAAAAGGTTCAGATCTGTTACCAAGCAAAGCACAAGGTAAGATGCCTGGTATTCATACCTTGTGAACTAATGCTGAGGTATTCCTCTGCTAACAAACCACAAGTTCAGGGACATAAACACACTGTCTTGGATAATTTTCTAGACTAGACCCTAGCCTTGGACCATACAGCTTCTGCTTTGGGTTTGGATCCCTTCTATGTTATGTGCAAGGCTGATGAACTGAACTATTTCCTCTCTTTTCATATTTAGGCAACTTCTTATTACTGCAATACAGGCAACAGATGATATTTCTGTCTAAAAAGCTGAATTCTTGTCTAGTGTCTTGTCAGATCTGGTAGAAGAATGTTGCTAGTTCATTAAGCAGTTGAGCTGTAGGTCACCACATGCAGACAGAAGATTGCTCAGGGTAGACAGTGCAATCATTAACCATTACAAAGGTTTAAGATATGAATGCTGAAATTTGTAAGATGCCAAACAAAACTGTGGTCACCTGAGAAAACCATTATATTTCCTGATGTGTTCAGGATGTGAAATATTTTCATGGTTCAACTTAAACTCAGGAAAGATTGAATTATCTGCCTAACTGGCTCAAGGACTACAGAAATAGAAACTTGTTTGTGTAATACAGAACTGAGAATATTAATGGTTTTGCTTGATTTTTGTCATTTTTCTGTCAAATAGATTAGGTTAAGAGAAGGATGTAATGCTAAATGGTAGATTAGCCTTATGTAGATGAACATGCATGAGCCTTGGGCTCTTGGGTTCCTCCTTCCTTTTCTTCTCCTGGACTGGTTGCAAATAATAGATTAGAAGCATCAATTTCTAAAACTAACCACTGTGTCCTATTAGTTTAAATTATGGTTAGTGAAAAAGCTAAGATTATAAACCATGTGTTGATCCTGCTATGGGAGATTGGTAACTCCTACATTGGCGAGGCTCCTTATTCATTGCAGCTGTTATTCTGAGCTTTATAAGAGCTATCTATAGTGCTCAACTCCATCCAAAAATAGTGTTAAAACTATGGTGCCCCATGTAATATAAACACTGAAATGTACAAGAAAGCCCACTGACAAAGGATTCACCCAAAGAGCACAATCCTATCATGATGTGCCTAAGCCCCAAACTCAGAGGTTTATGGCATTCAAAACAGAGTGATGGAGTTGATCTCCACTTCCTCATCCTCTTACACTTCATTTTTGCTATAATGACTTTTTATTTTTTGCCTGACAAGCTGGAATATCTTGTGGGGGTGGGGGAGGGAATGGGACCACTTCAGGATAGCTCGTATTCCTGGCTTCTTCAATTTCTTCTGCTTCCTGCCACTCGGAATGCCCCCTTTTACTTATCATTTTCCTGAATTTAGGTTAAATATTTATATTCTGTTTCTTTACTATGAGGAATTCCCAAGTGATTTAGAAACAAGTTAAAATAATATAATACAAACATTAATACAGAAACCAGTCAGTTGGATCCAGGCTTACCCAAAATTAGAGATGATCTACTGAAATAAGTGGGTTAATTTAAAGGTCTAGATTGCCAGGGTGAATAAGCAAAGTCTTCACCTGACTTTGAAAAGATATTAAACCAGGCAGTAGGCAAACTTTCTTGGCTTTTGTTATTGTTAGTAATATAAGCTATCTGTATAATTCACGGCATGCACACGTATGCACACGCATGCACAATGGGCAAAGCACAAGCCTGAATAATCTCATCCTACACTCTAGACCCCAGTTCCTCCTTGATTTCCTTGCCTAACACTTGGTAAGTTACAACAGAATAAAAAGTGAAAAGACAAGCAAGAAGCTGATACTTGGGCCAAGAAGATAAGTTAAAGATGCGCAGTTGATAATTGTCAAAGATATGTGAGCTAAAAATGCACATCTTAGTGACCATAAATAAATAAATAAATAAAAATCTGCAAACTCCTGCCTTTCATGATTTTCTGGAGGAAGCCCCTTCAAAAGTTAATCACGTTCTTCTTGGCCATCAGGTTTATGCTTTACCTCAGAGTCCATCTGAACTTTTCAGCAGTGCAGCTTGGAGTGAAATGGCACACTGCTCTCAGAAACCAGGTTTTTGTGTTTCACATTTTATTACAATGGCATTGGGATCAGTTAAATTCAGTTAAAGCAAAGCATGAACATTTTACATTCAAAGTACTAGAGGACTCTAAATAATCACAATATGATGAAAATTCTCACCTAACACAATAGTTTCTGCAAGTTGATGAAGCATATAAGGTAAGCTACTGTTATCCAATTAAGAAAAAGATTGTTACTCCTGTAAGTTTTTAAGTTGAGTTAATCATGAGTAAGTAAGGTATCAAATGTCCATTAGATCTCATAAAAATCAAGACTGGGCATCATCCCTGTATTCTGAACACAATTTAATATCGTTAGATTAAACTGGAGACATTGTAAAATACATAAAACCTTTCTTTTCAAACTTATTCTTAAATTGGGGACTATTTGGTCAATAATTTTACTAACATACTTTTTGCCAGTGTAAGTAATCATGCAAAAGTATCTATTCAATTGCGGTAGAATTCACTGGCATTGCAAAGATGGTACTTGACCGTTTGGTATGAACAAGTCAAATGGAAGGTATATAATGAACATGGGCCCTATAATGCCACCAGTATAGGTATTATTTTGGTAGCTTATTGTTCCCTTCTATTCTGCATATACAACTGTCCATTATACAAATGTACCACGCATAGCAATTCTGACAATGCTTTTAAAAAAAATCTGAATAAGCTATTTCATCTAGAACAGACCTTTTCAATTGTAACATGAGAAACCAGTGGAAGTCTTGCAGCAAAAATAAAAAAAGTTCTTTTTAGGCAATTATGAGAATGAAGTCTGATCTTTAAAAACATGTAAGAACAATGCAATTCACTTATACCATGCTTGCTTACTCTAAACAGCTAGTTATGTTGGACTAAACCATATTTAAATGTGCCAAAAATGGCAATGGTAACAGCTTGACTAGACAAAAGGATTTCAAAACATTTTATCTAGCATAATAAAAAATTATTGCTGCGTTGACTTCTATTGCAAATTCTGCATGTAAAAAAAATTGGCATAAGCTTTAAGACCATGAGAAATATGGACCCATAGATACCTTATGCATCTCTTTCTGTCTTATACTTTTGCTATAGGAGAAGTATAAAAATAATATGTTATTTCACGACTCCCTTGTGCCCTTGGATGATTCCCTAGTAAGAAGCTTGTGTATCATACTAATGGTTACATCTAAGGCTTTTTATGCCATCTCACTGCAAATTAAAGAATCAAGAGGAAGAAGAATCGCCTTACAGAAACAAAGGCAATCATTTAATATATTGCTTTGTAAGATGACATGAGCATGCCCAGAACCAAAAAATATAAATAGTAAAAATTGTGGAAAACTATTATGAAAAGTTTTTTCATGAAGCCTGGCTAACATTGGAATTATTTGAGTGAAAAGGAGGAAGATAGCATTTATAGCATTCATACATCATATTTACACTGTGCAGATTAATATATCTACCAGTCTATCTTCATTCTCCTATTGTATTTTGTGTTACATTTGGAAAAAACATGAAATTTTGAAAATCAAAAGAGGGACTGGAAATAAAGATCAGTTCAGAATAATTATATTGGCACATTACTAAACTTGATTTATAGTTCAATTTATTCCAAGTCACTCAGTACAATTTTCACAGTATATGTACAATTTTATTGCCACCCATTACATATTATATAAGTTACTGGAATGATATTTAAACCCTAAGGGCTGAAATACAAATGGTATGTAAGATGAAAATAACTTTAACAAAACAAGTTAGTCACATATGTCTATCAACATAGCATAAAAATCCCATGGATGTATGGTTGCCAGATTTAATTGTGCACATACTGTGTCCCTTATTTCTTTTCTAGATCATGTCAGGATTCATTTTAACACTGATAATTTTCTATCAGTCAAAATGACAAGGAGCAGTAAAGAAACATACCATATATTTAGATGTCTTATTCCTTATAATTTTTCATGACCATGATATATTCCAGTTCTAAAAAACTAAAAAATGTTCTAATTGTTTCACTTCCTAGGGCATTCCCTTTCAAAACTAGCAATCCTTTTAACAGATAACATATGTGTGCTTGTTGTTGATGTTAAATTCCACCCTCCCAATACCCAACTTTCAAGAAATAAAGGAACTATATTTTGAATGAAGATATCACTTTGGTAGGCTCTCGGAAATTCTGGAGTTTAAAATGTCCACCTGAGTACTATGTCCATGCATGCACCACCAGCAGATTTGCATTATCTGCATTAAAGCTTTTGTCAGTGTTAACCCAAAGCAAAGCACTTTAAAGAAATTGATCCACATATCGGTATGATTTTCATAATTTTGAAAGATCTGAGCAAAAAGATAAACATAAAATGAAACTCCTGTGCTTACCTTCAAAGTAACTAGTTTTTGCAGTCTGTGCCTTCTTTGGTGGTTTCATAGGGGGATGTTTATTTTCATTGTTTTTGAACAACGCCAGGCGCACAGCTGGGTCTAGACGACAAGAACAAGTTAAAATCAAAAGGTCAGACCTTGCTCGTTCATTCCCTAAAAGAAGTATTCACCTTTTAGCCATTTATTAAAAGAAACAGAATATCTTCTGTAGGTTTTACATTAGGAAGGAAAATATACTATTTCTAACATTAAAGAGTTAAAGGGATAAAAAAAGCACTTTGATTTAAGTGACATGTTTTAAACAATTCTTCGATGGCCCGTTTGTATATTTGAAGTAACATCTGAGTCTTCTAGTTGGAAACTGCATTTCCTATTGAGAAAAACAAATGCAGATTGTACACTTTGTAGTAGAACAACCATTTGAAAATGCTGAGGATTTTGAATAAGGGTGTCTATCTTGGAATGGAAAACTAAAGGTATCATAATTGGCTGCTAAAGCTAATCAAGAACTGTAATTAATTAAAACAAAACAATATACCCCACACAAAGCAATTACTTGGCTGAATCAAGTAAGTGACCATCTGTCTACAGAACCAGTATTCTATATATTATTGCTATTCTATACTCCCTTTGTACATAGAAAAAATTGTTATAAAGGGAACTTGCTTTGCTTTGCAGTGGAAAAAGGTAATTTCCACTGCATCTAGCACCTGAAGTGTGGGAGATGCTGAACAGATAGTGCCATAGGCTACTTGTGGCTTCTCAGCAAAAAAGGGACTGATTCTACTTCCTGCTTCCCATTTCAATAGATAATAGGTGCTATTAAATATATCTGCACCAACCCTCTGTTCAAAAATGTCATTGCTATGCACAAGGATGACTGGTGTGCCTTTGTATAAGCTTATTAAGTTCTCCTTCGAACACACAACCCCAGTGGCATGGAAGAGGCCTCCCCATAACACAATATCAAGTGTTTGTGCATAGAAATGTGGAGAGGACTAACTGTTTGGATTTTTCCCACTTGATGAGCCCCTATGGGAGCCTTATATTTATAATTTTAGTTTCTTATTTACATTTCACTGAAATTGGGAGAACCGTGCTGGCATGCCTATGGTCTCTTTCTGTGGATTCACCCTTACCAGCCTTCAACTATTATATTCACATTACTTGTCACTGTAAGGATGATCTACTCCCCTGACAAGAATAACAAAAGAAAGCTGCTGCTCATCTATGGAACTTGCTACCACAAGATGTGGTGATGGCCAGGACTTAGATGGCTTTTAAATTTATGGAGGATATGTCATGTTAAATTTATGACAAATTTATGGAGGATATTTTAACTCATTCAGGGACCAGAGGCAGCAAGTTGCTGGAGAGCAGCAGCAGGAGAGGACCATTGCCCTTACCACCAGCTTGTGGTTTCTCATAGGTGTGTTATTGGTCAGAGTGGGGAACATGGTGCTGGGTGGAGAGGCCTTCAGCAGGGCTCTTCTTATGCTAACATTCTTGACAAGCACCATAAAAACAGAAAGGATATAAGGAGCTCCAGTAAACTCAGGCAGGCTATTGGCCTAAGTAGGCAGTATTTTTAATTTGGCTTTCAAGATCTCTGGTTGAGGCCTTTGACAAAAGTACAGACCCTTTAACTGCATATAAGAGGGAGGACTTGAGGTGTGGCAGTGCAACGAACTCCTAATTATGTGGATCAGCACTGCCACCTAGAGCATCTGGTTATTTGGCATTATGCAGGGACACCTGAATAGGCTTATCTCATCTCTTTTTTTCCAAGACACAGCCAAAAACATACACTCTTTTTTTACCCCCAGAATAGGCTATTTTTTTCAAATTGGTTTCGTCTTTTAAGATGTACTTTTCATCATTACGATGGTGAGTCCATTCCCTAGGTAATTTAGAGTAAGGTTGGACTAAAAGGATTGATCTTGGCAGAAGGGTACACAAGCTTCCCAAGCAGCTGCACAGATGAAGGTAATATCAGGAGTCTCATCCTGACTGATAACATCTCTGTGGAACCCCTGTAAAGAAGGGGTCCTTGAGTAAGAAAAGTCACTCTCCATTCCCAGTCTGTAACAGGACAATTTATACACAAAGTGTGGGCTCAGTTGTTAAAGGATATGGCCTGTCCTTAAATATGGATGCCAGGCAGAGGGGAAGGTCTGCCTTTCAAGATACCATTTTTTTGTTTTGTTTACTCACTGCAGCTGTCCCACTTCTCTTTGAGTATAAAACGGGGTGAGTTTGTGCCTATCAGGGAGAGCCAGGATCTGCAGAAATGTATTTACCCAAGATGACCCCAAGTAATGGCACAGCAAATGGCACAGCACATTCTTTTCCAGTGGAGAAAATGAGAAGGAAAAACAAAGTAGGTCCCCTCTTCTATATATACACATTTCCTTCCTTGTTTAGATCAAGCCATCAGGACTTATGAAGGGGCAGTTGTCCTGCCAGGGGCTCTGTTCCAGCTGCTCTTCTTGGGCTTGCTCCTCCTGAGTTTCTGGGATTTAGAACTTAGATATCAGTTCTACAAAAATCAAAGTAAAACCAAGAAATATAATGCTTACCTGTCAAGTTGTGGCACAGATAATGTTATATTAAACCCAAAGATATGTATTATGGACTACTGCTTAATTAGAGTTGGGCACTCTTTATATTTGGGAATATTTTGACATTTTGCCTGTTCTTGGCTGCTAAATGTTTTGGTTTCCTGCCCACACTTTTCCCATTATCTCATCTTAGAATAAAGCAGTTGGTGTGGACACAAAAGATGAATAAATCACAGCACACATTTGGTATGGGTAAACTGTGGCCGCAACTTTTAACTGCTTGATCATACTTTCATAACTGTAATGGATTAAAGCAGAATGGTCCTCTGAGGCATTACTTGACAGTATTCAAATACTGATTGTCTTCAGCAAAACAGATATAGAAAGCTAATCCTAAGCCCTTCCGAGAAAAGCTTGTGTGTGTGTGTGTTCATTTATATTTTATCTCCTACCTTTCTTTCATTAAAACTCAAAGTGACTTCCAACCTGTACTGTTCTGGAAATTAGCATCTGGATCATTTTAGTTGCTTTAGGAAACACTAACTTCCATTTGTACCTATAATAGTTCCTGCTAGTGCATAGGCTTCATTTGATCCTGTCAAGGAAATTTGCTGGATTTGGGCAGAAGAGGAAAATCCAATCCTTCCACACCCAAACATTCTAATCTGTTTCAATCTTCTCCACCCTCATTCTCCCTGGAGAAGAGCCTAATCCTGGGAACAATTGAGGCCAAAAGAAGGAGGGGACGGCAGAGAATGAGGTGGCTAGATGGAGTCACTGAAGCAGTTGGCGTGAGCTTAAGTGGACTCCAGGGGATGGTGGAGGACAGGAGGGCCTGGAGGAATGTTGTTCATGGGGTTGTGATGGGTCGAACACGACTCCGCAACTAACAACAACAACAACCCTCATTCATCTCCTACAGCCAGGTGTCAACCTGCCTAACACTTTGTAGGCACTAGCTTCTACAGCCAGTAGAAACGCTGACTGGCTTGAGAACCTGTGGCTTTTATGAACATCACATTAGCCTTGTTTGATCAAACCAAAGGTCTTCCTAATCCAACATCCTATTCCCTGTGTAGCCAGCATGTGCCCCTAGAAAGCACATAAGATCTTAGTGGGAATTATGTCTGATGACTCAGGGCAAGGGATTAAAGCAGAGGTGGGAATCATGTGGCCCTAATATGTCATTGAATGACTGCCCAACAACCCAACAGCCAGTACCACTGACCATGGTGGCTAGAACTAGTGGAGTTTGGAGTCTTGAAGAGATATGGCATGGCATGCCAGTCATGTAATCATTTGTAACAAGATTGGTTGTTTCTGGTTCACCACATGAGTGAATTTTGAGTCACTTGCAGCAAGGAACAGAGACAGGTAGTCTACATTATATTTTTAAATTTTTGTTTAGGTTTTTTCTACTTTAAAAAATTAATTTGGACAGAGCATTTCATATTAATTGTCTTGGTAATCTGTACTGCAGGCCTCTAACAATCAGTAGTATTAGCTGCAAATTTTGGTGAACAGAAACTGGACTGAATTAACTTCCAGTGACTTTCAGCATTCAGCTGATGTTTTTAACCATTGTGCTACAACTGCACTCTGGTTATATATTTATTATGTTCTCATGCAGTCATGAAATTAATGCGTTTTTAGAAAATAAATGTAAAAAAATACAAAAATCCCAATCTTACTACTTTAGAACATCCAGAAGTCTTTTACAGACAACAAAAACAGAATAGCTGACTTTGATATGCTTTAGAAATAACCATTTATGACTGAATTAATCATAGTAACATGAAACAGACCACATATGGAAAAAAGATGATACACTCCAATGGGTTCCATTAATTACAAATGATATGTGGGCCACCAAGCTATACATATGTGAAAGATTCAGCTGGACACCAGATATAGTTTTCTTCCCTGAATAGTACGATAGAACAGGGTGGGAGGCCATGAGAATTGCTGAACTTGTCTGCACTCTTTGGGGACTCTATTTTATTTTGTCACATGGCTTTAAAATGCAAGGCACATATGATTCAACCATGAGAAACTCATCACTTGTGATTCAGCTGAAATCACCATCCACTCCCTTCCAGATCCTTTATGCAATTAATCTCCGCACTTGTGTTGATTACTTTGTATAGCGGTGGTAATATACTAGTGCCTAAATAAAATGGTCACTGCCATCCTCATTGTACCTAATTTACAAGCAGTTTAGAAAATATGCTTGCATTGGTTTGGATCTAGACTTAGTTATGTTTAAAGCATAACCATTGAAATTAAGCATGACAAAATCTGGATCCAGCTCATTGTTAAAACTTAGAACTGGAAGTCAACACTGACGTTTCAACATTTTCCAATTTTAAAAACAAAACCTTTAGTGCAAAGAAATATAAAAAAGTTAAAACTTTTTACACATTCAAGAGCCTACATTGGAAAGAATCTTTATCTCCAGACATGTTGATGCAAGTATCTCTAAATGACTAGAAAGAAACACTTTATTTATCTTACAACAGATAAATATGAATGTGATGATCTGTACAGGCAGTGTTTATTCTTTCTAGAAATACCAATGTGCAGAAACATCAGATGCACAATACATTTTAAATATCTAAACAACAGTGATGATAGCCTAAACCACTTTTCCATCTTATCAGTCAGAATTCCATCAATGGCACTTGTAGAATCAAGAACATGTATAAATATTAATTCTTTTTACATTCAGATGCTGCTATCATGCTCTGAGATCAGATTTTTCCAGCAGGGCAACAAGGATGATAAATCTGGAAATTCAGATTTTTGAGGAAGAATACTTTACTTGCAAATACACATGCACATGCACATACACATGGACATTTGTATCTAACATCTGTGCCTAAATAAATCTCACCTTTGGAACTTATTATTTGTATTTTTTTTTTAAATAAAAAGAACAGAACTCTTGTAAAAATATAATTCTGCTGGAATTCCCTCCACTATCAACATCACACACACACAAAGCCTAACTGTGGTGAAGTTTGACAAGTTTTGTCCAATGGGAAGGAGCCATTGTATACTGCAGCCCACACTGCACAATTTGGTGGACAGTAAAAACTGGATAGAATTCAGAGAAAGTAACTTGTGCCTTGGTCTCTTTGGAGTCAGTGATGTTTAAGTACAAATGTAGTTAACATTGCTCAGTTTGGATTGTGTAATGGACTGCACTGAGTGCTTATAAAGGAGAGAATACTGCTTTTAGAAGTATAAAAATACACACACACACACACAGAGAGAGAGAGAGAGGGGGGGAAACATAATTTTTATCACAACATTTAACAGGGTTACTTACTCACCAAGTTTCTTAGAACTAGATTTCTTTGCTTTCATTTTATGAGCTCTCTTTAGCATCAACTGTGCAGTAGAAATATCTTTAAAACCCCTAAAAGAAAGATGATCTTAGTCATTTGGCAAACAGAAAACAGGCATCTATTTAACAGTCTGGAATCCATAGAATTACTTCTATGGGTTCTTCTGTGCAAACATGGAAATGTTACCAATTTTCTCTGCTGGTGGCAGTACTCCTGCCAAATTGAATGTCCCTCCAGAATGTTCTGTCTTTCAGGTAAAGCTTTTCAGAGTAGGCAAAGGACAGGGGAGGCTGCGGAGGGGTTAAAAGCTTGTGTGCACATACAGAAAACATGTGGCTTTCTGGATTATATGTACTCCATTGCTTCCTAAAGTATAAAAGCCTAGTGTATTGCCCTGAAATAAGTGTGCAGTGCTTGGCAAAGACTGCAGCTCTCCATAAGTTTATACTATGTTTGCGCACTGAAATTGCCAAAACGTATGCATGCACAACTACATAAGTTTACACCCAGTGCTGGCTGCAGGACAGGCAACAATTCATTGATACTCAAGAAATATTTCATAAACGGAGGAACATAAATCTACTTATCTCAACACAGTTAAAAGAAATTCAATGACTGCACATATGTCATATGTCCGCAGCATGGGGTTACCATTAGTTATGCTGATGCCATATCTAAAGACCTAATACCATCTCCATCATGCTGTAAGGATAATACAGTAACACAGGACACAGCAGGACTAATATTGTGCATTACAGCATCAAGAGTTAAAAAGTAACTTTCCAACTAAATCTAAAGTTTCATCCTAGGTAAAAAGTTGCCCTTAAATTTTTAAGCAGAATGAACCATACATACCATTCTTCTGAAATTTTTTCTTCTTTTTCTAGTCTTAGTGATGACTTTTGGGGAAGTTGCATGCTGGATTGCCATGAATGTGTACTCTTTTCTGACCTGGGGGTAAGCAAATTCATTGAAAGCTAGCCCTTTAACAGAAGTCTCTGCCATCTTTGTTGTGCTAGCAAGTGTCAATGACTTCTCAGACTAAGAAATGAAATCTATTGTAATACTTCAGAAAGCATTTATCTTACAGACTAATAAAATTCAAACTTGAAATGTTTACACTTCAGTTACTCAAAGCATGTTTCAAGTTTTTTCCACAAAGGAATGCAGAGCTATGAGAAACTCATCTATCATACCTGTCTTAGATATCTGTATTTTAAGGCCTAATTTTTAATTTTAGGACATGCAGTTTTAGAAGTTTAAAAATTAATAAGCACACTCACTCAATAGAGTTAATATTCTGCATTTAATTTGTGCCATTTTAGTTGCAAGCACATGTGCTTAAAATGTAGTTAATCATGTGAATTAAAAATAGCAAGGCAAGAACAAGAAGTTCTAATTAGTCTTCCAGTACTTATTCTGTTTCTTGTCATTGTGCAGTTGGCTACAGACAGCAACATTCAAAGCAATTTATTTGACTTACCTGTTACTAATCCAGCTGTTTCCCAACAAGAATGATTTTGACCTGTCCTTAAGCTGCCAAGTTTTATGTGGAAGTTGCTTTAAACAATGTGAATTTTCCTCACTTCTTGCAGGTTCATTATACTTATAAACAAGAGAAGAAACATTTTTAAATAAATAGTTCTCTTAGTTCTGCTTGAACATGAAACAAGCATAAGGAATGACTTTCATATTGCCTTGCATTTAAATGAAACAACTAAAATGTTTTTTCCTTAGGCTCAGAGCAGCCTACAAGTAAATTAGTAAATACCTTAAAATAACAGAAAAATATTGACACACACAAAACCCACAATAGTGAGAACAATTTCTACTGTATCTTAAAGTTTGATCAATGAAAGTTATATAACACCTAGCTAATCAAACCACAAGCCACCTATGATTTCTTTTTGAAGCAGCCTAAAGCACTGCATTAGTTTAGTTTTAGTTCTGGGTGAAAACTATTCCAAAATCTTGGAATGATATTTGGAAAGGCACTGCTTCTAGCAACTGAACTTCCTACACCAATGGAATATCAAAAATAAACTGGTATGAGGACTATAATGGCAAGTTTATAAGGGTGGTATTTAAGATGTGTGGCTCTTGGGCTGTAAGTGGTATTAAAGTTTAAATCCAACAGTTTTAGTTTTGCCTGGAAGCTCACTGGCAGCCAGAGCAGATGATGTAACACAGGCTGAGTATGTTCATGCTTCCCATAAGGAGGTAGAGAATCTCCTTTTTCCACTAGCTGAGATTTCCGCACTGTCACTTCCAATCAACCCTATGTTGAAAGTTATTTCTATGACAAGTTGCTTTCATGTGGTAGAAGGGTACACCCTGTCACAGCAATTAGTGAAGCTTCTGTACCACAACAAACGTTTATTGGTCAATGAACAATGCCTTTAGGGATGGCAAGTGTTAGTGAACAAACTGTCCACATGACCTATTTGACAAGTTTTACCTGAAATTATCCCAGAGGACAAAGAAAGCCAGAACACCGAAGTGGTATATCATGAGAATAAGAAAAGGTGTAGACTAGCCCCATTTCTTATATTTTTCACAGATGGCACTCATAGGCAATGGTACAAGTAAGCTACACACATGCGTGTGCGTGTGCGTGTGCGTGTGCGTGTGTGTGGGAGAAAGCCCTGTGAGGTTGGAAGTTTAATATTTTCACCATAGCTATATCTTGCAAATTCAAGAAGCATTTTAAACCAAAAAGCTGGCCTCGTTGCAGTCTAAGTGCAGTCTTGGTGGAAACTTCAAAGAAACATCCGGCACAATTTTCCTTCACATGCACATTCCATTTTGTTGGATTAGAGCCACAAACTTTAACAGGATACAGCCATTTTGAAATAATCTGGAAGCCACTTAACCATCCCAAAGTACCTAAGATGCGAGTAGGTCATTATCTGGAAGCAGTTTGAAATTCAAATGAAGGTTACAGTCCTCAAAGTACAAGCCCGCACCCTCAACTTAAAAACACATTTACTTGCAGAGAAATGAATTCACGAAATCAGTGAATTCATTTCCATGAAAATGTGCTCAAGACAAGGGTATAGAACTAACATTTAATTACTCCCATGAGAGAAAATTAACATATATTAAGCAATACTGTCTGCAGTTTATGGCCATCTTCTATCTTACTGCTATCACTAATGTTTTTGGGAACACATTGCACATAGCAGGAGAATAAAACGTAACATAAAGAAAGCTGAAACTTCAAAGTTTATCAAATAGCTAACAGACATTAGAGTTCAATGATCTTTAGCTGCTCTGAAAATCCTCAGCTGTTGTCATATAACGCGGACTTCAGTATTTTTTAGAGCACTGTGTCAACTACCAATTTTTAATCCACTGCCAAATGTGCAGCTGAGACACATCATCTTTTTTCTTTTTCTTTTCTTTTCAGATTTGTTTCCTTTTCTTTTTTCTTGCTACTGTGAAGCTAAGTGTTGAAAGAAATCCAAAATAAAGGGCGGGGGGAGGATTTAAGCAAAGGAAAGAAAGCTACATGAAAAATTACATCTGGGGAGGAGGAGGAAGTCAGAGGCTTCTAAAAGTAATTATGTTTTTTCAGTCAATAAATTGCAATATTAATCACACCAAGTGCAGCAAGATCCTTAAGGAATGAACAAAGGCCAAACACGAAGAAAGTTTCCTTGACATGTTACCTTTGGCGAGGGCAATCGGTCTGAGAATAGTGGTGTTTGTGAAAGGAAGCGGGTGGAATCTAAGGCTGGCCATTCGTTCTCCATGGCAGACTATATTAAATAAATAAATAAATAAATAAATAAATAAATAAAGTAAGTAAGTAAGTCAACAGTGCAAGGATAATATCAGTGTCACTTTGATAATTTCTATAAAATGTCATTTTTACTGTGCTGCATGCTGCTTTCAGCATTTCAAGGGTATATATTGGAATAGTCACCTGTAGCTAAATTACACTCACTGGAGCTGTAAGGAAAATTTTGGTTTAATTTATAAATTTTAATTGCCAATCCCAAATTACAGTGATTTCGGTGGGAACAATCTGGATTCAGCTATTTAGCCACTGACATCGGTCTGAGCCACAAAATCCTATGTCTTGGGCTGGCCCTAAAGCAAAGTGGAAAATACCAATCTTCTCCCTTCTCACCATTCACTGTACATAAACTGACCAGACTGACAGCTGGATTTTGCTCCAGGGCTCGCTGCCTCTAACACCCAAGGGCAGGTTAGTAGATTAGATGGATGCAGGGTGGACTGTAAAGAATGTATCACCTTGTCATTATTGTTTGCTGCATAAGATTTGAGTCTTGAGGCAACCACCTCATTCTGCCTAATAGTAGAGCCACCCCTGTTAGTCCTGCCTGCAAAGAGCCGCTGCTGTTACTACACAGGACTTATCCTATTGCAAGCTACAGAACATCCTGCCTGTTTACCATAATGGTAGCAAAAATGAAAGGCCCACCAGGCGATGCAAACTTGTACACAAACAATAGCATAAAGCTTAGGTTAAATGGACAGAAACATACCTACACTAATTCGATTTTTCTGGTGCCCCACCTGTCTTCCCTTTATACCTTTGTTTCTTAGCTTCCTTGCCTGTCTGCCACTAGACAATTACTGCCTCCACACTTTCCTTTCTCTAGACCTCCTAACTAATCCTGCCCAACTAATCCAGCCTACCACTCTTTCCTTTGTCCCTTGCATCAACCCATCCCTTCCTTCATCTTCTGCTTCTTTTTTGCCATTCCCTCACCTCTTCTACTTTCCTGGCCATATACTGGACAGCCCTTGTATACAGCCTATCACTGTACCCATCATAAAATGAAGTGTAGCTGCCTATGCCAGAGAAAACTGCATCAGGTTCAAATGTACATGAGCCTGATTTGTGGATTTTGCACTGCACTGCCTTTTTTATGACATGTAGATTCTGTGGACTTGGAGGCTGATCGTTTTACTTGGGTGGGCTAATCTGCATATTAGTGTAAGTGGGAAGTAAGAGCAATGTGCATTAGTACAAATGAGCACTTGCACAAGTGCACATTAGCATAAAAGAATACTTGCAAATAGCAGTAAAATTCCCATTTTGCCCCCCCTCCCAGCATAATTACATTAATGAGCACATGATGGAATGAAAATTGCTTGACAAGCTGGAACAGATGGAACAGATTTAATATACCATCCCTAACTGTAAGCCGAGATGCACCGGGTTTTAATATTTTTAGTGTATAATTTTTGTATGATTTTGTATGTTTTTGTTTTTGTTGTGAGCCGCCCCAAGGCTTTGTTGCGATGGGGCGGCATAGAAATGTTTTAAATAAATAAATAAATAACAAATGTGTGTGAAATGCCAGCCCCAACTTTTCACCCTGTTCCTTAGCTTACTCTGCTTGACCACAGAGTTCCTGTGAGGAGACATTTGCTTGTGCAATGGAACTTCCATTTCTTTATCTCCACCATGCATCCTCCATGTCAGCTCTCTGCTCAGAAGTTACTCTAGCATGGAGAGCTGAAGAGAAAGGAGTACTTGTTTCACCAGTAGTGTTTGTTCCATTGGCAGACAGATGCAGATACAACACTTCTTATTTGTGGTTTCTGTCACTCACATGTATGAGCTTATGCATTTGCACACAACAGAATTTGGACAGTTCTAATAGTAGACAAAGCTTTCCAATGGAAGTACTGGACCAGAGCCAGAGCCTATCCCTCTCAGGACACAGCTCAAGCAGTCCACTTTCTGGCACTTTGCATCCTGAACAGTGATCAGCCGCACAGTGACAGGCAGGTGATCCACTTTTGCATGAGACTGTTACAGTCCTGTTTCATACAACACTTTGACTCAGAATCCTCAAATCTCCACCTCTCACTCCCTGTTACTATCACGCATTCCCTAAGGTGGTAGACCAACCCATCCCACTTCCTGTGAGGTTCAACATGATGCTGGTATTCATGATCACAACAGATGCTTCATGCCAGGACTGGGGAGCACACTGCCAGATCCTAATAATCAGAGGGTCACGAAAAGAACATATGCTCCACATCAACCACTGGGAGCTACTAGCCATAGTAAAAGTCATGCAAGCCCATCACCAAAGGAAAGATAACCCAAATTACCATAGACCACACCAATTATTATTTAAATAAACAAATAAAATCCCTCAGTCTCTCTCATTTATAAAGCTTACTCTCAACTTCTGGGACAGGTGTCACTGCTCCATCATATGATTTGCTATTCATTCAGCATGGATATCAAACTTTCCAATGCCCTAAGTAGACTGAGAATATCCCCACATGAGTGGAAAGTCCAGCAGGGGGTAACATACTTGATATTCTCAAAATACGAACACTCAGAATACAATCACTTTGTAATAGCACAGACTTCCATAGCAGGGCTGGCTATGACCCACAACTCAGAGTCTAATCAAGATGACTTCCTCATATGTTGGGACTCTGTGCTTCTCTTCCTTTCCCTCTCATCATTAAAGCAGTGAAAAAGAACTGCACTGACAGGGTACACTGTATCCTAATTACTCCAAAAACTATAGTTTGCACTTTTCCCTTTGTGCTCCAACCCCACAGTCATGTACCATCTCCACATTCCAGACCTTAGTTCAGTGCACAGAGGGAACCCTCAGACCAGCTGTTGAGGGTATTCAGCAATACACATTCTCCTCCCGAGTGCTAGAAATACTCTTGGCTGCACACAGGCCTACCAGTCAACAACCTTATGCAGTAAACTGGGATAAGTAGGGACTTTACCATCTACATTTGTAGAACCTCATAGTTAAGAAAGACTACTAGATTTTTCATATGTCATCCTGGACCTTAAAAAGGACACCCTGACTCCTCTTGACACATGGCTAATTGGATAAACTCTACCATCAAACTGGCATAGCAGCATAGCAGCTCAGTCACCTACCACTTCCTTTGCAAATGAAAGGTCACACTTATGAGGGTTGTGTCTTCCTCAGCAGCATTCATCAGAGGTGTACCAACATCTCAGCTCTATGCTACAGCCACCTGGGCACAACCATCCATGTTCATAAAGGCATATCTTTCAGCATAGCTCTTTCTCATTTCTAGATGATATCACCTTCTACAGATAAGTCCTTAGCTTTAAAATCACCTCTATGAGTTAGTCACAGATATCACGAAAGAAGCTGAAATGTTGCTTCTGTGCAAATGTGATTCTTCAAGTAGCCATCTATGAACTCATAATATCAACCCTTCTCTAAGCTCCTGTGTTTTGCTTTCTTTTCCTCATTTCAGCAGATCTGGAACTGAGGCAAAGATGGGAGTCATTCCCAGAGCATGCACAGAACAGGGGAAAGGGGTCCTGCCAAAAGACCTCTGCTTAGCTCTAGAATGTTTTTCAGACTGTTCTGCACAGGACCATAAACCTATAAACCAGTGATGGTGAACCTTTTAGAGACCAAGTGCCCAAACTGCTACCCAAAACCCAATAATTTATCGCAAAATGCCAACACTAGAATAAAACCTGAAAACTGTTTTTAGTTTAGAAATAACACCTCACAGCCAGTCCAAACAAATTCTATCTATCCATCCATCCATCTATCTAACCATCCATCCTTGGCAGTGCACTGACAGGCCATGCGAAAGCTTGGACGAGTCGCGGCTAAAGAGTCACGGCTCATGACTTCATCACCTGACACCACTACTCCTTTCTGAGCATGTGCATGGCCCCTGTGTGCGCTGCTATCTGATGCTCAGCTGCTGGGGTGATGCTGGGGCAACTTGGCTTGCATGCTGACAGAGAGGGCTCTGCATGCCTGCTGTGGCACGTGTGTCAGACACTTCCCACCACTGGCCTAACCATACCCTGGTGCACTCCCCTAACCCTAATATAGGGGTAAAGTTCCATTGAAAGAGGTGATTTTGAAAAAGCCTTCCTTGAACCTCTTTTTCTGCACAGCTCAACATTTTTGCCCATTCTAAACACATTCCAACCATCAAAACCATGCCGGGGCACCTTGTTTTTCTAACCCTAACCCAGTAATGGTGAACCTTTTAGAGACCGAGAGCCCAAACTGCAACCCCAAACCCACATTTATCACAAAGTGCCAACACAGCAATAAAACCTAAAATCTGAGGTTTTAGTTTAGAAAAAACAACTCACAACCAGTTCAAGCATACACACACACACACACACACACACATACAGCTCCTTGGCAGCACACTGACTGGCCATGTGAAAGTTCAGACGAGTTGCAGCTAATGAGTCACAGCTCATGACATCATAGCTGTGAAAGTTGGACCATAAGGAAGGCTGAGCACCGAAGAATTGAGGCCTTTGAATTGTGGTGCTGGCGGAGACTCCTGCAAGTCCCTTGGACTGCAAGGTGATCAAACCGGTCAGTCCTAGAGGAGATCAACCCTGACTGCTCTTTAGAAGGCCAGATAGTGAAGATGAAACTCATATACTTTGGCCACCTAATGAGAAGGAAGGACTCACTGGAGAAGAGCCTAATGCTGGGAACAATGGATGGCAAAAGAAGAAGGGGACAGCAGAGGATGAGGTGGCTAGATGGAGTCACTGAAGCAGTCGGCGTGAGCTTAAGTGGACTCTGGGCGATAGTGGAGGACAGGAAGGACTGGAGGAACGTTGTCCATGGGGTTGCAATGGGTCGGACATGACTTCGCGACCAACAACAAGCCCCCATGATGATCCATGAATGTCATTACCAAGTTAGTACATATAGGATTGCAATCTAAACCTAACACATAGTTTGCATATGTAAAAGCAATGTTCACACTTGATGCATTTGCTACAAAGAACACTAATGCCCCTGACTCTCTGTGCTCCATAAAATATAAGGCTACGCTTAGTTGCTCAGCTCTTATATTAGTAAAATGTTGGCATTTCATTTTCATTCAACCCTATTCCTTTTCTCATATAAAGTCACTAAATGATATGGCTACAACATCTTTCTCCCATTTATGCACTACTGCTAGGTTTTATTTATTTCTTTGAGATGGTTATCCTGGCTTTTGGATGCTGTAAGATATGATTGCTGAAATTCTATATTGACTAAGTTAAGAACAATCCACACTGGCAAAAATGGACTACTAGATTATTTTCCCCTTAATGAAATATAGAAGGACAAGCTCATATTTCACCTACTAGTAAGATAGCATGTCAGAAACTGCTCAGAAAATTTTTTCCCTAGAAGTGCTCTTTATTTTAACAAAGGCTACATGGGTTTTGGATTATCAGCTTTACCCACACTGTCCTAGTTAGTCTGGAGCCATTAGTATTGTTCAAAATTATAGCTCATTTTCAACCCTGAATTTAACATTTGCAAAATATCATATAATTGGTTTTTAAAAATTATTTACAGTGAAAGAAAGAATTGGATATTTTAGGAATCTAGAGAAAATTGGTTCCTCTTTCTCTGAAATAGTATGTGTAATTTCTTTATTTTCATTTTAAAAACAAGAACAAAGGTATCTTGGTATTTCTTGCTTGAACACAGTTTAGAAGAACAACAACAAAAGTGCTAAAACACTAAGAAATTGTAGTTCCATGTACTTTCTTTCCTATACATTAGGATTTGTGTCAGAAGAGAGAACAGAAGTAGAGACATCTGGTACCTTTGTAATAATGTTGTTTGTAACAGACAGGCTGAGAAAGTATTATGAAGGCCCAGAAGCAAGCACACACAGTCAGGCAATGATAGATTTAGAACAGACTCCCACCCCAAATCTCCTCCACATCAAATTATCACTCAGCCCAGTCATGCAGCCAGCCAGGGTGTTTAGGACACCATGAAAAGCACAGCAACAGTTCATATATTCACAGAGAGCTTGTGCAGAGACAGCGTGGTGGAGAAACAGTTCAGGCCATTCCCCTCTGCCTTGGAAATAAGCCCCTGTACATACTGAGGGTTCCACACCAATGCCAATTGTGCACAAGCCCTCTTCATGCCATTTCAGAATGTGGACGGATAAGGACTTTCCAAGCTGTTTGTGGTTTTGATAGTAAGGTCCTCCACTCAGTTCATGACACAGGCTAGGCTACAGGTGAATTGTGAAGAGAGAGAGGTGTGTGTGATATTTGTGGGGGGAGCTTTAAACAGAAAAATGAGTATATCTGGGACAGATATAGGTGTGGTAATAAAGATATCATTGATTTAACCCTATGCTATGTTCAACTAGCTGTTATTAAGCAATTCTTCAATAACACTTTTGCTTTTTTTTGTTTGCTTTGATATTTTTTTCTGTTGGTGCATAAGAAAGCCAAGCCTGAGACTTTGCAAAAGTCAAGCACACAAAGCACAGGTGCTGTGCTTGAAAAATAGAAACCCACTAACTAAACAGGAGAGCCCATGTTGTGTGTGGCTTGGTTACATTAGCTAAAGATACGAAGTACTCTGAGTCCAACCCCTGCACAACCATAAAGACCACTGGGTGGTATTGGACAAGCCATTCAATCTAACCTCTCATAGATTTTTATAATGACAAAATAAGATAACCCTATATATGTTTGAGCTCCCTGGAGGAAAGATGGATACTGTGTATGACAACAAATCACATACATTGGGAAGAAACCTATGCAGCCTAGTCACCAACACTTTCAGATGTGTTTTCTGTTTCATTCACAGAACCAAGATTTGCCTAGTCATCACACTTCATTGGAGCTGAGTTACCCAAACAATATATAGATGTATTTCTTATGGAATTCCTACCCCAGCCTCCATCAAAACAACTCTGCTTCTACTTATGATCAACAGAGAAAAGAGGAGATCACTGCAAGTGCAGAGAAGCTGTTGCTCAGGCAAAGGCCATTGCCCTTTCTCCTAATGGTGATGACAGCAGTGAGGGGTAGGCAGAATCTCCAGCTGCCTACTTGTACAATATTTAAAGAAGCATTGCCCTTTCTCATCCTAATATCAGGATGGAGAGGAGAGCTGCTGTTCACATGAAGAAAATTAATGTTTTAATCTGATAAACAGGAGATTGAATGCATGTTCACATAAAGGACAACAGATGGATATACCCTAACCCTAACCCAGATAAAATGAATATCCAGTGTGAACATCATGTATATTCTCGCTACCTAAAAACACCATGCTTTTGTTACTGTAATGTGAGAACAGGATCTGTATCTTTCCTTGACACCCCAGCCCTTTAAATATGAGGGACCAATGATAATAGCATTTGCTTGTTTGGGCTACACTGTTATTTGAAATGATGCCACTGTTTGAAGGTATTATCAGAGCTAGAGGCCAGCAACTCCACTGCCCATGTGAGGATTTAAGGCCAACAATTTTCCCTTATGCCCCTTATCTAGCAATATCCGTTGGATGCCCCTCCATGAACAGGACATCATTTTGTAGAAGGTATCTAAAAGCCCAACCAACAGAGTTTTGTCTTGTCTTGTCAGTGTTTGGACGGAATGAACTTCTTTTTAAATTTGAAGATATAGTGTCAATGCCTGAACAGAATGAAACTTTAGAAATGAAAAACTGAAGTATAAACAGGAAATGTGAAAAATAAAAGAATATATAGAATCCCAGGTTTTACAAGAAATGTATAATATAATGGGAAATAATAATAAATAAGATGGAATTGAGATATTCCTAACTATAGTAATATTTTTCTATTTTACAGTTATATGATATATGATATAGGACTGTACAGCAAATGCAAACAGAATCTCGCCATTTTGTTGTTGTTGTAGGTGTTTGGGAAGATCACAAGAATACTTTTTTCAGACCTCTGATTACTTATTTTCTTGCTTTAAAACTCAATAGATTTTAAGATGGCATTCAATATGCTTCTGAATTCTTCTTAGGCCATCTGGCACATAATATGTTTTTTTCTTTTCCTTTTACATTTCATACTACAAAACAAATTCATATGTTTTTAGTATGTCATTGTGAATCTTTACAGGTTTTTTTTAACCAAATGTCCAATGGCCTGATGACATTGTCTGGGAGTGGAGGCATAGGTTGATTTAAGACCCAACTCCCCTGTTTTGTGACCACAGAAATGAAACTCTGAATCTTCGGCCATTTCCCTCATAACCAGCACACTGACTGCCTTTCCGAGATCAAAACTTGGCCTCAGAGTAGAGGCAGAGGCGCAAACCAGGGGGATAGGGCCAGTGAACTACCTGTATCCAGCCTCCTTTCCTCCTTTTTCTGCAATACTTTTTCTGCATGGCCAAAAATGTCTGACTAGATGAAATATAAGACACCTGCTTCAGAACAGTAAAATTGCCACTACAACTCCTCATGTGATGCATTAATGGCAGAAGAGATAGTACTGTGCTCTTAACAGTTTGTTTCCTCTTTTTTTTAAACAATGATTTCAATCATCCTCCATAAGACATAATTTACAGCAATCTTAATATACTCCAGCTAGCTCTCTCAGATTACTGTTGCTTTGACATATATATATTTTTTCAGCTTGTGCTTCTGGGATTCCAATTCATTTTTTCTTTACTACTTTTATTCAGAAAGTAGATATGGTCAATTATTTAAAAGATATCTAGGTTAACTATTCAATGAGTTACTTTTTGTTTTAAACTAAGCAGAATATATTAATCTGAATGTAGTGAGAGATTTATCAAATCTATCACCCACCACAGTTGTATATATCTTTTACTGGATCCAAAGTAAAGAAAACTGTGATATACAATTAATTATAATCATAATAGGTTATACTTGGAGCTACCAAGATAGAGAAGTATATTTTCAAACACTCTTATTTTCCAGTATTTTAAAGTTGTACTGATTATATAGATTATACAGATTATATAGATGCAAAGCTTAATTATTGGCATGATAAAATATACTCTTATGAATAGGTCTATGATTACAGTGTATTGTTCAAAATTCCATAAAAGGTGTAAAATATTAGCATGGTTGAGAATAACACACCTTAGATAATGGGAAACTATTCATTATAGTGTAACACATGAAGCAGTAAGAAAGAAAATTAAGATGAATCCATGGAAGGTTACTTGTTCACCATTATTTAAATGGCACAACTATAAGGTCAGTTGTGATTTTTTTTTTTTGTATTTTAAGCTTGTTTTTAACACCTGTACAAATTAAAGAACTTAACATCAGATATTTTTATTAATTTACCCTACTTACTGCATCAGACAAAAAGTCATCCACATTTACTTCTCTATAGTCATCCTCAGCTTCATCAGTCTTAACAGCTGCAAGAGCACTGGCTAGCTTCTTTCGCAAACAGAAACCCTTCCAAAGTGCCTAAACAAAAATGTAAAGCATGTTATATGAGGCCATAGATCAAATCCAAATCCAGATTCTCTGTGTTATCCCATTAGGAAGATAAAACATAGTAGGCTTCCCCCCCCCTTTTTTGGGGGGAGGGGGGAATAGCGCAATGATCTGTGTTTTGAACTTTATGTGACATTTAAAACTACAAGACAAATTAAATATCAGCACATGTCTAGAACTCTGAATACTCTGGAGGTTTGGCTCAGCTAAGCAGAATGGAATCCTAAAACTCCCTCAAGTACAAACCAAGGTCAACTAATTAATTATTGGACAATTCCTTCCGGGCCTACTATAAGCTTAGGAAGAGAAGATATATGAAAAAGAATTAAGTGTTAACTTTCATATCAGTAAGTACAAAAATAAAAACACATATAGCTAAAAAATATCCATGGATTACACCTGACAACATATGTTGACATATCAGCAATTAATTTAGGTCAATCAGTTTTACCTTCACTATCAACCTCTACACTCAATTTTTAAAGACAGGATTTATTTTACAGGAAAAATGTATAGCAAGCCCTTCTCTGCCTCAAAAAACCCCAACCCACATACCCTTTGAAAACTATCAATGGAAAAGGTAGCAAAAACTTTAGGAGCACCAAGAAGATGAAAAAAGTAATGATTTGTACACTTTCTCATAAAAATGTGCATGTGTTTTATTATTACATGAACCAGATTTAAAGAAGTGATATTGCAAATATATTTCTAAATAAATGCCACAATCATTTTATTATTAAACAACACTCAAATTATGAACATTTGTGAAGGTATAATTACCTTTAATAAAACATCTTATGAACAGGAAGCTTTAGAATCTAGATGTGAGAATGCTTCTAAATACAAAAATTAATAAGGATTCTGCAGTCTCCTCTTCCTTTAAATGTATAAAATAATGATGCAATATTTGTTTTGCTATTCTTTTTGCAGCATGACATAATGACAACTTATGTGAAATCACTCCCCTGTCCTCTCTTAGCATACATAGATCAAAAGCCATTATACAGGTGGGATGGCACCACTAGGTTCTGCTCACAGCTTTTGAAAAATAACAAGAAATCAATGGGAAATTCAGAAAGGTAGAAGAGGCCCTAGAATTCTCAGAAGGTTGTTCAAAGGCTGGAAGACAGGGTAATACTTCCTTTACTTACTCTATAACAAACTAGGTGCTTTCACACATCATAACAACCCACCCTGGCAATAAGCCACCATACAAACAACCCATGGTAAGCCCAACAAACAGTTGGGTTCAGCATGGGTAGCTCTTTCCCCCTTGGTCTTCCTGTGAGCATCCAAAGCAACACCATGGGAGAAGGAGCTTTCCTCCATTTCTGCCACCACCATGAATGCTTTTAGGCTCGCTACATTTTTGTTTGGCAATCACAAGAGCTAGCTATCACAGAGACAACTGCAAGTAATTCTTTGACATATGTCCCAGTCCAAAACCACCCACTTCTCACTCAAAACCACCTTTTAAAGGTAGAGTCAGAGTTTTTCCTTTAAAACAGGTTAGGGCTGTTGGGGGTGGGGTGTACCCCATTTCACCTCAAAGATGAAATGCAAACTGTGCTGCAATTTGATGAATACTAAAGCATGGGAGGAGGGAGTTGAGGATTTTGCTGTGAATGAGCTTGTAAACTCCTCCACCCTCCGCCCCGCCAGCATTTTCATAGCTAAAGATCACTGTGTTGTGTTGTGTTGTTTTGTTTTTGACAGCTTGTGTTCTGACAAAATAAAACCCAAAACAAAACATATTGGAAACATATTGACTGTGCCCTGGTTGTTTCCCAGCTGAGGTTTCAAATCCCAGTATTAGTGAAACAGTAAAAGTTCACAGTTGCAAAATAGTTTTAAAAGTTTTGCAACCAAACTACTTTTGAGATCTCAAAAACAAAGCAAAACAAAAAAGCTTCAGCAAGCCCAAAATAGCTTGTGGTAATGTCAGGGAGAGTGGGAACATTGCCAGCTACCCGCAACAGTGCTTATCTGGTAGCTCCGTGGCAAGAACGGCAAGGGCTTTTGGCACTCTTGTCACGGGACTCACCAGCCAATTACCTCTACCCATGATGTAGTTGGTCATCTGAATTCAGACATGAGAACCCACTGGGGGTAAAACAAATCAGCATGTTGCCCCATGCACATGCCACCCTGGGGAAATCAGTCTGGGTTTGCACAATATGGCAACCCATTGTGGGTAGTAATCCATGACGGGATATCATGTTGAATGAACCCAGTCAGTAGTTAATGGAATCCTAAGGCTACTGAAATGTCGCTGTGCTTCAATGGAATTAAATCAATGCAAATAGCCTGTTCAATAATATGTAGCAGTAACCAAATCTGCTAATTGAATGTTTCTACTAGCTAAATATGATGAAATTTTCCAGTTTTTCTAAGAATACAAAGGGTTCTTGAACTGGATAGTGACAATAGCACTAGGAGGGGGTTGTTTCCCTTTCCCAAATCTCCTATTAGGTCTTTCAGGGGGAAGAAAAGGCAGGCATGATATAGTTACTAACTTCTATCCACCAGAACAAGAGCAGTCTTGGGAGAGAGATAATTCAATCCAGGGGCAGGGGGTTCCTGTATGGAAGGATTAAGTTCCTCCTGTCCCAGTTCTCCACAAAACCCACAGGTTACCATGTCATACATATGTTGTTTCTCTAACATTTTTTCTACATCAAAGAGCAACATTTTCACTTATTTCTGAGCATTTATAACTTGCAACTTCATGCAACTTGCCTCTTGGGAGCCATTAACAAAGTTCAAAAGACAGTAAAAAAATCATCTGATGATGAATGGATAAGTATTTGTTTATGGAGGAAGGATGGACAAGTTGATGGGCAGTCACATAACAGGAGACTGTGCCAGCATGGTAAGTTGCATGCGTGCTTATCTGAATTTCTGTGCAGCAAATTTCTAAAGCAGTAGTCATTTCAGTCTGTGACAGGGGAGGATGCAGGGAGGTAGCAGAAAGAGGCTTGTGGCAACTTAAAGGGTAAGAAAATACTTTTTAATATGCCGGAAATCTTTTTATTTTTGTGTGTCTGTATGTAAATGATCTTTAGCTTTAGGATCTGGTTGGCCTTTTATGCACCTTACTAGGAATTGTTCTAAAAAGAAACTTGGGCTGTAATGGTCTACCATTCAAGCCACTGATGGGAGAGCACACATGTAAATATTTTTTCCAATTTTCATTCATTCATTCAAAACCAGTTATGGTTTCTTAGGAAGTTTGGCTAAGTGAAGCAATCTTCTATGTTTGGTTCTAGTGAATACTGCCTACCTATTTGCCATGAAGCTTTATCAGGCTTCCTGGGAATCCATAACAGATCTGAGAGGGTCTGTATGATCAAGAATTGCTAACTCACCTGAAGTATAGTTGCAGCTTTATTCTCATCCATGAAATGATCACCCTCTTTACTGTAGCTGACTGTCTTTTTTTTCACACAGTAGCTCCGCCAAAAAGACTGGATTACAGTTGCTGCCAGATGTAGCCTTGTAAAGAAATTGATATCTTTACGAACTCTATAGCTTCTCCAGCATGACTGGATAACTGTGGCTGCCATGCTATAAATATGATAAAAACAACACAGTATAGTTAGGAATTGTGATTTGTGCCACTTGCTCTTTTGATGTTTATTAAATACTTCGACATTTTGGTTATCTACTCTTCAGATTTTTGTTACAGACTTGGATACCATTTTCATGCTACATAAAATCTAGAAGATGATGCCTAACCTGTGAAATATAGATAATTATTTTTCATTGATTTAGGGAAATGGCAGCAAAATGAAGAAAATTCTACTTGAAGAGAATAGTGTGAAAGACATTAGTATAACTTGGGCTCAGTCTTGTTCCATACCCTATAAATTCCCTGATGAGAGACAGCGTTCCAAGCATGCAAGGGAAATGTGAGGCAGAGTTGGTGGTAGAGGGTACCTTCATACAGAGCCGCAATATCAAAACAGTACAGTGACGTAGGGTGAATGGATTGCTCCTAAGGTACATTTTCCCTTAATTTTCACTTCTGGAACATGATTCACAATTATTTCCTAATGCGTCTGAATAGTTCATGACAATGTAATTACAAATTTATATGACTCTTGCGTACACTGTATTTTTCACACTATAAGCAGAAGCATAATACTGCTCCCATATACACATACCTGTCTGAATGGTAAGCAGGATATCAACATGCAACTCAGTTCTATTATACTGTGTGCACATGTGTGCATGAATAAGTGTACATGTCCCTTTGACTTGCACACACATGCACAACATTTCAGAGCAGGTGATAGCAATATATGTAGGCAACAGATCATGTGTGGAGTTTGGGATTTGTCAAATCCGCATGATCTGGTATTATAACAGAACTGGTCTTATAACAATGCCAGAACAAATAAACGTATTATTGTTCTTCTGTGGCCCTATAATAAAAATGAGTTCTATCAGACAGTAAAATAATTCTGTCTCTTTGTATAGGAACTCCACTTCACTAGCTTAAATCCTGTACTTTTGCATTTGCAAACATATGCAGAGTGTGGACACAATGAGACCACATAGTTCACCATAATGGCACAAGGCGTTACTGGTAAAGCAACAAAGAAGGCAGTCATGGAGACAAGCAAAGCCCTTCAGGCTGAGGAGGAGAAAAATGACTAATTGCAGTACACTACAGTACTGTTATTATGTTACACTACTTAAAGCTGCTCAAAAAAAACTCTTTTTTATAAAAATTGGCAGGATGCATGCCATCAGCATAAAGTTTACTGAACACAGATCACCTATGAAGGTTATTCATGCTACAAGATAACCTAAGGATATATTTTTGTGTGACAATGCTTTGGACCAAATATCAAATACACCAAATGCAAGATACAAAATAACACAAAAACATGCCATGGAGCTTTTGTATTTTTCCTGCTCCAATTGTGATGTTAAAACTCCTTGAAAAATGCAAGTACAAGTGATTTAGGTTAAGGCCATCACTGCACCAAGTGCAAAGAAATCAGTACTCGTATGTCTAATCCCCATAGACTAAGTTCATTTGGACTTACTAGAAAGTAATAAATGCTACTTCCTAGTAAGTCCTAGGAAGTCCTAGGAAGTGTTACTTCCTAGTAACACTGCTGTGCGATGTTAAGAATAAGCCATTAACAAGTTGGCTTAAAAAACAATAGATCAGTATAGGAAAATCCAGATAAATATTTAGCTTGTTATGCCCACTCAAAATTTTATTTTTTACAGGTCTAATTGCATGTTTGGCCATTTGTCTGTAGCAACTAACTATAGCTGACCCATACATTCCCTTGTATCCCCCTCTCCAAATTTCAAAGTGGTTGTGGGACATTGTAATGCTTTACCCACCATGTGGTCCAAAGCACAACACAGGGTCTTTACATGGCAAATCACAAAATATCAACCTTTAAAGCAGTCACAATCTAGTAAATAAGTGGTAATTTTTGTCTACAAAAACACATCACCAGTATTACAGCAGTAATCTGGGACAGAATTAATTTGAGGGAGATAAAGCTGAGCTGAACTGATTATCAGAAAACGATACACTCGTGTTACAGCAAAGACAGTTAAACAAGATTCTGAAAGGGACTCTAAGTGCAGGTGTTGGCAGGTGATGCAGATGGGTGGTGCAGGCAGTCTGATCCTATAGCTCTGTAATCCTGATGTAGGATACAGAGAATCTCAAACCAATATAATTGCACAGGTATTCTTAGCAGTGCAAGTCCATCCTATTATTCTGCAAGTTGGGTGAGAAAATGAAAGACTGTACTGTATTTTCTCAGGCATGTCATTCATGCAAATACAATTTCTCTGTAGCATGTGCACAATCTTAGAATAGCACCTGAACGAGCCATCATTAGCATTGACAAACACCACGTGTTCTGCTTAACCAACTTTGGCCTTTGCAACAGTTCTTTGCAATGGCACTTGCACAGAATGTGGTAATGTTATATAGGTATTTCCAATGTAGGAGCAACGACACTGTTGTGATATCCTATTTCAGGGCCATTGCTTCTAGATCATGTTGTCTATGTTGTTAAAGTAGGTGTTATACACCTCTCTAAACATTTATTTTTTATTTATTTTATTTTTCGATTTATATCCTGCCTTTTTCCTACAAAGGGCTCAAGGCAGCTTACATCATTCTCCTCCTCCATCTTATCCCCACAACAACAACCCTGTGAGGTAGGTTGGGCTGAGAGTCTGTGACTGGCCCAAAGTCACCCAGTTGCTCCATGGCTGAGTGGGGACTAGAACCCAGATCCTCTGAGTCCTAGTTCCATGCTCTTAACCACTACGCCAAACTTAGGTAGAAAGCAAATGTAATTTTATCACCTATTGATCTTGAATTAAAGGGAGATATATGAATAAATCTGACATGTTGTCTAGCAGTCTTAAAGTTATGATTATTCCTGAAAGATCATTTGGTAGGTAGCATCAGTGATGCCCTTGCCTGCATTAAAAGTATAAAGTGATATGGTTATGTTTCCATAATAAAGTGGTTTGACCTTTGGATCTTACTTTTGCAAACTGTCAAAATGTTGAAGGTAATTTCCTCCATTACTTGCCATGATTTGCTTGCTGAATTTGTTTCTCTTAGGACTGATTAATATGTTGTTATCTTTGCTTTGTCCATTGTGGTTGAGGAAATGTTGAATAGCTTTCTTCCTTTGCTTGTATTCATGATTCTTTCCCATTCCAGCCAGGGCCATGAATGAGTTAACAGACCTAGTCTGAGTGTGGCCAGAAGTAATCCATCTTTCAGGCATATTCAACGAGACCTGCTTATTTTCTTTTACACCAGCGATAAAGAAGTTATTTTTCTCTGTGATGTTAATGGCTTCTTGGTTCAAATGATATGTCTGTTTTTCTGGTTCTTCTCCTTCAGTATTGTTTAGCACTCCATATTCATGTGAGTAGCGGTGTTCACTACTAAGTTTCATCAGCTTCATAAAATACAAGCACTGCAGCTGTACAGCTTCTGTGGAGAATTCCTCTCTGGGAGTGGGAGCGGGGAGAAATGTTGAAAAGCAAATTGCAAGTTTAGAGCCATGAATCATAATTTAGTTAATAATATTAATATAACATCTTCTGAAAAAAGTTGTCAGGATATATAAACTATATTTTTATTGCTATAGCCACTGCACACATAAAATTTGCTGGACCACAAACTATAAGGATACAGACTTGCAAAATCATCTCTGCTTTGTGGCCCATGATGGCTTAGGGCAGTATCCAAGTGTTACATTAGTGCAAATGACATTGTGCTGGTGGAAACTAAGTTCTAAACTGTGCACAAGATGAGAAATTACATTTGAACAAATCAGTTGCACAAGCAGTTGTGCAAGTGATTGTGCATTATGCTTGTTCAGCATGATGTACATTATACTTGTGCAATCCTATGTGCAATTGGTTGCACAGTATGCTTGTACAATAGCTTATGCAACCAGTTTCAAAAGTATAATGAGTCATCTTAATCTACAATTCATTGCACAAAGGGAACATTTGGCAGAGCTCTGCTAGTGTTGTGAGTTTATGGAATGACACCATTGGATATGGTGCCCTTAAAGGCCTTTTGCCACAAACTGACAAAGACCTGCAAAAAGTTGGCATAGGAACAAATTTTCATATTTCAGTGCAAAAGCTCCATAAAAATGACATGAATGAAGTATATTTAAATGGAAGTTAAAAATGACCTAATAAAAAGGCTTGGATTCAGGTTTAGTTATACTTGCAGAAGAACAAATGAAATCAGTTGGATGTAAGTTAATCATTACATTTGCTCCCATTGATTTTAATGGATAAAACTCAACATCACAGAAATAGACTTCCATCCATATAGTGAGAACAGTTGCCCTGGGTCTTGTACCAGGCCTAGATCTTGAATTGAAATGCTGCTGTAGACACAGCCTTCAATGATGCTTTATTTATTTATTTAGTCATGTCTATACTATTCAATTAGCACAATGCTCTCCGAATGAAGTACAATATAACATTCAATTTAAAAACAGATTCAGAACAAACGCTTCTGTCAAAACAAACAGGCCTATCAATAAAATTCAACAGGTGGATACTAATGACTGATGCTTTCCTGTACTAGGCCTGCTCTGGTTTTGGGAACAAGTTGCAGTATCAGAAAAGTTCCACACTGACTTAAGGATGGGTGAGAAATTAATTGTGAATGTACCAGATTTACACTTTCTAAATTTATATACAAACCGGAATATTGTGCTAGAGCAAAACTATTCACACACTTCCAAATTTTGGAAAATGATTCAGAATTACTAAGTGTTTACAGCAACGCATATAGTAAATAAAAGTATGCACAAACATGTGTATAATAGAGGAAAGCTGTACAAAACCACATTAGATCAGAGAAAATTACTTGCAAAAATCTGTACTTTTAAAATGCTACAAAAATTAATATAAGTGGAAAAGGCCATGCATACAAAGTTTCATTTAGACTTTTATAAAAAAAAAAAAGTAAAACATAAGCTTAAGTGTGAGCAGGACAGAATGAACTTAAAATTAGAAACTGTGTGGAATTGAACCATTGCTTCTCTGCTTCCCTTCTCTATTCCCCTTTGTGCAACATCAAATCCTATTAATGCTCCACACTGGATTTCTCCACTCTAAAAATGGAGATAGTGAAAGGGATAGGTTTGCCTAACAAAGAGAGAAGTACCCAGACATGGGAATTCACTTTAAGTGAGGTAGTCAAATTCAGCAAATACAGTGGTTCCAGTATAACCCATCAAGAACAATAATGACATTATTTCAAAAGACAGGAATTTACTAGTAAAATGTAATATGACAGGGAAAATGTTATTAGAAAACTTCATAAAGCCACCATAAAGTTATTGCAAAGATCTATAGCATGACAGTATGAGTTTAATAAAGTAGAAGGTTGCATTCACCAGCATTTGCTCATTCTGGGGACCTCTTCATATTTCAACTTCTTGTGTTGCACTATGCATTATGATAAAAGTGATATAAGAGGTACAGTTCATTAACTTTGGTAACTGCTAAATTAGTCTAATTTGAGTGGGTAATTGACTAGAATTAGATGTCCAACATTAATTATTTCTCATATTTTTCAAATGTTCTGTTTCTGCAAAGGAACAATATTTTGGAAGATTCAATTTTAGGTTTTGTGCATTTTACCATATAAAATATTATCTTTTGGAAGAATGATTTACATTTAGATGAACCTAAGATGCTGATGTATTGTTGTACTTCATCTTAATATGCAGATATTTAAACATTACTCCACTCAAGAATACGAAATGTGATGGATTATTACATTTTAATTAATTATTAAAGCTGAATTACATACAGTCATATTTAAAATTAAATGCTGTTTATAGTGTTGTATTTTTCAGCTCGAGGGATATCAATAGTTTTCTAAACCAAGTGCTTCTCAAACAAGAGCATTTTAGAACTGTTTTCATTGTCTTCTTTTTAAAAAAGATAATAAATATTACATCAAGACAGAGAGCAGCTGTGACAAGTAAATATTATAGCAGTATTATATAATTCCATATATGTTGATATATGCTGTAATATTATTATTGAACCACTCTGTTTGCAAAAGGCTTTTAAACTCCATAAAGAGTTTTAATGTTTATATTTCTTCAGTTATATTTCCTTTCATAAGCTTTTACATCATTTACCTCTGTTTAAAGTACAACTGTTTAATAGGGTTTCAACTTCCATTAGTGTCTTTTATTTCCAGGCATCTGTACAAGAGCTTGTTGAAAGCCAAAACACTGAAACGGAAGTGCATTTTAGCATAGCTACTTACAACTAAGTGTCAAAGGATTAACTGACAGACATTTATTAGAAGAGAGTAATTAATTTTTTAAAAGCACATAATTCTTAAACATGGGTAGGCACAGTAGATTTGAAAGTAAAAATAACACAGACAATTTAATTGAGCAGCTCTGGTGTATGAAACATGGATTAGGAAACCTAGCAATGATTACCTTTGGCAGCTTACATACTTGAGGTCATACCTACAGGGCCTCATAACTTAAAGATGTCAAACAGACAAGAAGCTTGCTTAGTTTTGTTCTGTTATTTAGGAATGTTGCATTAAGCCTGCAATCCTATGCACCCTTATCTGCAAGTAAGCCCTTTGTACACTTACTTTAAACAGACATGCATAGGATCACTCTACAGGTCTCTTAATTTACAGAATGCAGATAAAGACTTAGGCACATAAATATGCATGTGCATGATTTCTTATTGACGGAAGAAGGAGAAAAGGGACCAAATATTAGATAGAATGAATCCAAAAAGGAAGCCACAGCCTTGAACTTAGAAGAGCTGAGCAGGGCTGTTGTGGACAAGACATTTTGGAGGGCTTTCATTCATAGGGTCACCATAAATCAGAGATGATTTGACGGCACATAGAAACAACAGCAAAATATTTGCATTTACAACATTTAAAATAATATAGGACAGAGTTAGGAAATTAGAAGGGTCATAGATTAGTGCTACAGCACATGCTTTTCATGTGCAAGATTCCAATTCATCCAATAGTGTTTCTAGACAGGGGATAGGGAGGTTCTTGTCTAATATCCTGGAGAGCTGAGTGTCAACAGTACTGAACTAGGTGAAGTAATAGCCTCCGCTGGTAGACTGTGGGCATGTTCCAACTGCAATTAATCTTTTAAGTCCAGTTATTTTCATATGATTAATTAAAAGCAACTTAGTAGCAACAAGCAATAATTAAGCTGCATTTGCGTGTTGTATTTCTTTAATGCAGGAAGAAAAGTCTAGTTTCACGAAAATTTGAGAAAATGATACAGCTGTCTCTAAGTGTTGCGAGTCCATGAATTTCTTAAAAGGGAGGGGGCATATACAAATGAATGAATTGAGTCAAAGAAAAATGGAAACTTTTCACTTCAATGTGATTCTAATGGATTTCATTTTGTCACAGTAATATGAAGTCTGACAACACCAAAATACACATTAACTACGTAGAAAACTGAATTCTCAGAAATGTACTGTACTTACAATAACCTAGTTGTAGCTTTTTTGCTGACAAAGTCAATTGCTTGAATCTGAACTTGGCAAAATGCTGCAAAAGTTCCTGGTTCTGCTCTATTTTTAATTCTTTCACCTGGGATTTCTTCATTTGACCTTATGTTTTCATCATTAAGTATTTTCAGATTAGGCAGAATTTTTAGTAAGGTGCACCTTCAAAAATGAGATAAAAGAATAATATTAGAATAGTTACATTTTATTCCACATTTTGAAGTTTCCTATGAACATTGTACAGAATTATATGCCTATTATTTTTCTACATGTAAGAAAGGTTGCAATCCAGCAGACTTAACTAACATGTGGTAGTGAAAAGTCTTTCACCGCAAGATGGCTATGGAAAACAAAGGAATTCCATGAATTCACAGATATTGCTTTCCTGCTGCCAAACAACAATAACTTTCCAAAGCACTCACTGACTGAATTTGTAAAACACATAGCAGCTCACCATGGATTACTGTTTACCCACAATGGTTGGATTTGTGCAACACAACTCTTCAGTGGGAGCTGCCTATTCAAAACAGCAGCTAAGCTGGGTTAAATAACTCACAGCAGGTTGTTATGTTATGCAAAATGCCCCATCTTCTGTATCATAGACCACATATTTATCTACTACTAATTTTATTAAATTTGCTAGCAGTTCTTATATAAAGGAAGCTACATTCTCTTTTTAACTGTGTAAATATTTTCTGGAAAAAACAGTAAAGCATTCTGTGATCTTTTGAAGCTGAGTCCATGAACTTACTTGATTATAAAATCAGTTGTAAAAAGTTCTGACCAAAACCAGAAAACAATTCCACCTTAGGGAAATTACTTGGCATGTGGAGATCTATGATCAGATCTGGCATTTAAAAAGCAGACACAAAAGTACCTTTCCCTCATGCTGCTTCTACCACTGAAATTTCTCCCCTGCAGCCTGACTTAGGGGGAAAAGGCAGGTACACCCCCCCCCTCGTTCAGATTTCAACTTGGACTCCAATGCAACGCCTTGAATATGCTCTGATGCATGTCTTTCGTACTACTGGATCAAATGTGTCCAGTGTGCATTAATATCTATATAATATGACCTCATGCTGAGGTCAATCAAGAATCTCTTCCTTGTTTACGAGTTTCTTCTATGCACTGGCAAAAGCATTCTGAGGAACTTAATAACTTCATTCTGGAGTCTGTCTCCTCTAGACACAAGGATTCCTTCTGTCTCTGTGAAGCTTCTGATCCAATGCCAAACTATCATTTTGTACTGGTGAAAAGGATGAACTATGGAGGTTACTTTCCTTATTGCCCTCCAATCCCTATGTTCCCCGTAAAAGTGCATCCCACCACCTTTAAAAAGGGAACCAAATTTACTTTTGACTGGTGGCTGTCAAAATTTGGGCTTTGGTGTACCTTTAAAAAGCAGATTCTGAATAGAAACTGGGAATTACATTGGAGTATGTTCCAGTCCAAATGTCCCATCCAATTCAAAAATTTCTCTTTAAAGGGATTCCCAGGTTTGACAGTTATCTGTCAAACTTAGTTTCTCCTTTAAAAAAAATGGAAATGGGGTGGGTGTGGGGGAGAAGCATTTCTAGCTTTACCTATGTCCTTTGAGTCCTGGGACAAAACACAATTTTTCTCCCAAGGAAAATGGGGTATGAAGCAGGAAAAAAAATTGGGGATATTATTGAAAAGAGAAGGTAAATCCTGAAACACACCACATTCTCCACAAAAAATCTTTCATGGCTTGACTTGATCTTGAAAGCTCACCTTCTGCACACTGTCAAAGAAAAACACAGACAAAAGAACATGGATTTTGAGCCTCTTGTGGGCAATGTCCAATCTGGGTACCCCTGGACATTGCCCCAGCTGAGGCCTGAAATGAAATAGCTGTGATTAAGGGAATGACTATTTTAGTGTGTGTGTGTGTGTGTGTGTGTGTGTGTGTGTCTTCCTTCCTTCCTTCCTTCCTTCCTTCCTTCCTTCCTTCCTTCCTTCCTTCCTTTCTGCACAAGTTACTGTGCAGCCAGCTAGACTGCCACAGGCAATCACTCAAAGGTACTGCTTGGGCTGCATAGAGGGTCAGCTCATAAATGTCCAAAAGGGATCATAAAAGCTAGCTTGACAACTGGCTTCTGCAATCTCCTATCTGTCCCTGCTCCAGAAAAGTTTCGGGGGGTGGAGGGAGGCTGTGGTGAGCTGAAAATGGCTTGCTAGAGTTTTGTGCAATATAGATTAAGATGACTCAGCAACCTGTAATGGGTTAAGTATAGTTCTACTTCATGCCATGAGCTGTCAGGCTAGAAACATAGCAGATAAATCTGGTCTTTGCTAGTGTAATTTCTGTTGTGGAATCATGGAAACAATCCTAACACAGGCAAGTTGGATTGTGTCAATCTAGCTGAAGCCTGAGAAACAGAGTGAGTCAGAAGGAGCTCACAGGCCATCTAGTCTGACCCTTGGCTCCAGCTGGTTCCACTCATGTAATCCCTAATATGTTAGACGCCAAATTCTAATAAAAACATGCGGGTTTGCATGACATGATGGCTTAGCAGTGACTTAGAAGCTACAGTGGGTTGTTTTATTGGATGAAATCCATGCAAAGGGAATTAGTACAGTTATCTTCAGTCATGTGCAAAGGGAATTAGTACAGTTATCTTCAGCAGTGTGCTTATGGTTGTGTGAACCCATGCAAGGTTATGTGTAGTTATGACTAACAAGCTACACAGAATTCTACAACAGCCCATGGGTTTGGGTTGTCTTCTTACAAATGGCAATGAGCTACACTGGTTTTATTTCCACCATGTCTGGGTTCAGACAACATGATAACCTACACTCAAGGGTGGAGTATGTGTTGAGGGCAGATTGTTGTTGAACCATGGGCTACTATCAACCATGGATTAGTGTGGTTTGTTAACTCAGCCTCAGGTAGCACAATAATCCATGTTTCAGCAACAACCAACATTTCAACAACAATCCATGGTTAAATGGCAAACCACAGTCAAATCCTATTAAACTCCTGAATATATGTTATGCTGTCTGACTCCAATCAGCATGGCTGGGTTTACATGTTCAGTTAAGGAAAAGAAACCAACATAGCTTCTTCTCCCTGTGCCTTGTGCTCTGGTCGCACACTGCCTCATTTCCATAATTACCCACACATCAGTTGCTATGTCATCTGAACTGGACATGGGTGGGATCTGGATAGGGTTTACAGACTAAGCCAAAACCGGAGAAGAAGTAAGAAGATTTGCAGGGTACTTTAGATGACATAGCAGCCTGCCCAGCTTGCTGGTTTTGGATGAGATGGATATCTGTGCAAAATTATTGCAATTAGATGGACTATGACTGCATGTGTGGGGTGGGGAAAGAAGCCAATGTGGAAACCCAGACCAAGATTGAGGATAACTATGCTAATCCCTCTGCCAAATGACCTGCATATGTAGCAAGGAACATAAGCTTTACTTACTGAGTGATAATCATGTAAACTGGGCCAAAGACTGTTCAAGCTGCTGTTGGTGGGAAATTCTGAATCTAATTTTATTCTTTTCTTTTAATAGAGGAAACATATTTATGGCAGGAATACCTCTTCATACTGTGATCTGTTTACTTCTAGACCTACAAAGGATAGACTTGCAACTGCAAAGGATAGGCCTTCTTTCCAAATTTCTTGGTCTATTATATTACGACCAAATGTGACAAAATCTAGCTGGTTTCAAGTTGCACTGATTTCACCAAAATTTTAAAACATATGCTTAGTCCTCTTCAATGGATCCAGGGAACACTTAATTTTGGCTGGAGTATATTCTTCACTTCAGTAAATATTATTAAAACCATAATTCTCATTTATGCTAGAACCACCACCATTACAACAAAACACATTTCTGTATTTTTGTTAGAAGTGTCAGAGTGTTAGATGATGATATTAAACCAATAGTCTTGAATCTGCAGGTCTATTAGAGACAATGTTGAATAATGATATATTGAAAAGGTGCCATATCAAGTTGATTAATGTTGTAAAGTATGGTTTCTTAGAGCCATGGGATCTTAACACTAGTTTTTCCAGCTGGGTTTCTCCTGGTGACGGCTGAGTCAATATTTCATTTAGTGAAAACTTCCTGGTGAATATTCTGTCACTTAAGAGGCTCTATTAATCATTACTGCAATGAAACACATTCCCCCTAGGAGTGCTCAAACTGATCCCAGGGTTTAATTTCTAAAAAGTGATTTCTTAGTACTTCAGCTTCTTCAGTGTTATCACTGGCTGGACATGAAAGTAGGAAACCGATTGGGAAATTTTACAACTAATTCCTTTGTTGGTATCAAGGGGTTATGTAAAGTTCATTGAAACATATTGCCTGAAGTTATAGTCAATGCTGAATTCAACAAATCCATACTTTATAGTATCCCATTAGATAAATTAATTTCTTGTCCAGTCCTGAAAGCTCAATTGGTCAAACAGTGTAGGAGGACCTTGATGGCTCAGGAATTCCAAGGATTTATTTCAAACGGAGCTTAAACGGAGCAGCAATTAATTATATGCATCTCAACAATCAAGAACAATATAAGTACAGATAGTAAGACTGCTATTTTGTTATATGATGTGCAATATTTTTGCAAAACTGGCCTTTGGCTTTTACAGCCAAAACACTAATTACCTCCATCATGCAAAAACATAAATACATGTTCACAGGTAACATTATGCTAACTCAAGCCCCATATTTTTCCAAGTGTATGTTACCCTCATCTCCACTTCCCATATACAATATTAATTGATAGTCTGAAACAAAGGTCTGCTCAAGCGACCTATGGAACCTGTTGCCATGGTATGATCAAGAACTGGTGTTTATCTTATAATTTCCCCTCTGTCTTCTCCCTCACCACATGCAAAAAGTTAGTATCTAAACTAAGATATTGTATTTATTTGAAAGGGAAATATCTCTAATTCTGACAAAATGAATGATAAAGTTTCTATGTACATCAGTGCTTTTCTATGCACAAACCAGCCCTAGTTGAGGTGGATTTTCAAAAATGAGTGAGCCAATATCCATGGGCAAAAAAGAACATGGAAAAAAATAATTGGAAAGCATTGGAAATGTAAACTGAGTGTAGAACAAAATGGGGAAAACTGCAGAAGACCAATCCCACCACAGAAGAATGTTATAATTATTGGTAAACCAAAAGTAAAGGGCATGGACAAATTACTAAGGATGGGTACTGCTGATATGACATAAGACTAAATCAGCTCAAATTAGTTTGAGTGATGACATATATCCGAAGATTTCAAAAAGCTAATTAGCAGAGAGTTAGAACATGCATGAGAAAATTGGTGTGGTCCTAGAATACACTTAACAGCATTGTCAGCGCATGAGAAAGGAGATCTCAGTAGAGAGAATAATTGGTCATCCTATCCACCAGGGATCAGATAAGAAAAGAAATATGGTTTTAAACTAAGGGAAAGTAGATACTGGTTAAAAATGCAAACATCTTCTTAAGTGTAAAGACAGCTTAGCATTGAAACAAGTTGCCTAGAAAGGTGTTGACATATTTGAAGGTTCTCACATAATAATGTTGTGGAGGGACACCTTTAAAAGAATAAACAAAAATAATAAAATATTATTTATTAAAAGTAAACTTTCACATATTAGAATTAACTCTTTAAATAAGCCAAAAAGGGGCTGGGAGGGCAGGGTAAGATTTACAGCGGGATCCAGAACCAAAAGATTCCAGAAGGTCAATAACTGCCCTAGGAAAAGGGGGCAAAAAGATCAGAAGGGATAGAAACAAAAGCAGCTAAGTCATTCTTCAGTAAATGTAAGGTCAAGGAAAGGGCATACAGGAGGCAATACTGAATTTGTCAAAGGTGGGAGGCAGAAAAGCAGAAGTGGAAAAGGAGTTGTATTTAACAAAAACAAGAGTGACTTTTAAGAGAAAAGCTAAGGAAATATGCTACAAAATGAAGTAAAAAAGTTATGGGCTGTGTGTGTGTATGAGGGATATTCCTAATATGCAACATTTTACTGTAAGATAATAATTTTGAAAGGGTGAAATTTAGAGGGTCTATTTAATTTTGGCCTGAACATGCATACAGGCACAATTATTAATGTAGTCAATATGAAGCCAGAAAGAGTAAATGTGATTATTTCTGTATACCAATTTATCTTTAACTGCTTTCAATATATGTAGAAATGCAGCTAGGAAGAAAAGAATGTTTTGGGGGGCAGAATGCTTTGAAAATCAGTTGGTAATCTTAAATTCAAACAAATCAGGAAGATCTAGTTCTTTGTGATTACATCAGGCTTTGTTCATTATTTAAATTATTTGCTAGAACAGTTCTGGAATTGCTAGAACAGTTTTGATAAATGCATTTGCTCCTCTTCTCTGAAACTGCATTTACTAATTCAGCAAAAGGTATGTATTCATCATTTTCACATCTATACTGGCTAATCACCTAACACAAAATGGGGTTGGATCCAGTTTATGTTAGGTGAAGTCAGTTCCCATTGAAATTAGTGGGAAAACTGACTCATGACTTAAGCATTTAAGCATTAAGGTTTTCAGGGTTACTCATGCAGCTACCTGAAGTCTGGATCCAACCCACAAAGCCCACTTTATTTTTTGTGAAAATAATAGTTGTAAAATTACTGATACTAGAGACCACCATTGCTTTCCCTCACTTTAATCTGATATGTGAAACAATTCTATGAAATAATGGAACCACGCAGAAAAGGAAAATGCTCTACTTCTCAATATTATTTAGTTAAAAGAAAAGCATCCCTTCCTATCCCTAAAGGCTAGGAAGACAAACAGAATCTCAGCCACCTGTTGCATTACTTTTCAACTGCACTTGTCACACTTCTTTTCTCTTATCCGCTTACCGCCAATTCTCTTCCAGAAGAAGTGGATTTCCTTGTATGGACAATTCCCTTAAACTGTCACAGCCACCAAACCACTGGATGATGCTTTTAGTATCTGCAGTTGGTAAATATACATTGAAACAATTCTATGATTTCTAGTATGATCACAACAAAATACTTTCAAATAGCAAGTTAGCAAGTTAGTAAAAACAACACTTAGAGTTAACTCAGGGTTGTGATAATATTTAGTGGACAATGAAGTGGAACTCTAAAATCCAGCTTAGGACCGAGATATCTCAAGGCATGCCTCCTTCTGTATATACCTACCCAGACCCTAAGATCATCAACGGAGGTCCTTCTCCGAGAACCTCCTTTAAAGGAAGCAAGGAATGTGGCCTTTTCGGTAGTGGCACCCCATTTATGGAATCACCTCTTTAGGGAAGTGCACCTAACACTGATACTACACTTGTTGGCACCAGATCAAAAGCTTTTTATTCTTCCGTCATTTTAACTGCTGATTACAGGTTATGATTTTATATTAATTTTAATCAATATGATTACTATTGTTTTATTTTCTTGTCACGATTGTTAATTCTTTGTATTTGGATATGATTTCATGGATAGCGTGTTATGTCTACTTGTAAACTGTTCTGAAAGCTGAAGGAATGGCCTATAAAAACTTCTAATAAATAAATAAACAATAATTCATCCCACCATATATCAGCTTTAAACCTGGTTTCAAATCTTGTTTAAGAGTGAACTCTCATTAGCATGGGTCAGTGTCTATGTAAGTCTCAACCATGCCTAAAACTCCATGGATTTGTGCTGGTGAAGAAACCATGCTGCATCCTGTTTTTCTAGACACCTTTTGTATACATGTTAACAACCTAACTCACTTACATTAGCATTTGTAAACTCATGACAATTTAAAACAACTTTTCCCCAAAGGATCTTGTAGCCCTCATCCCACATGGTGGTTTAAGTGGCATCCTCCTAGCTCACATTCTGTACTGTAATTTACACATAAGCAGTCCTACCATCTTGACCTTCTAGGAAATAGTCAGAAAGAGCCTAGTTTCAAACATTCCCAGATTTGAACCTCTTCTTTTTTACACTTTCTTCTTTCTATCAACCAAAGCATGCCTGAGGCACAAAGTTGACCAGAGTCTCCATAGGAATAGTTGCAGGGAATACTTCTATACCCCATAACAGTAGGCGCCTAACAAATGAAGAGAAGGTTCAATTCAGCTTGATTCCTTTTTAAAGCTAACATTCTTAGCAAAAACCTCCAGAAAAAAGAAGTAAAATCTACTCAAAGAAAGCTTTGCTATGATTTGTTTAAAGTTAATAGGCCAAACTATTGCTCTGCAGAGGAAAAAGTCAATGGATCAAACAATGTCATGCAGATTTTTGTTTTGTTTTGCAAATGCATAGGAAGGATTAAACCTGAAATAAACTGTACTGGTTGATAGCTGAAACATGATTGAAATGTCCTGAAAGAATTTCAGTCAAAGCGAAGGATTTTCATATGCAGCATTTTTCTTGTCTTAGAGACTTTTATCTTGGGTAAAATTGACCCCAAATGGGACTAATGTTAGTTTCTTGTTGAACTGGGAATATGATATAAACTCACCTAATAAGCAGTTGTTGCTGATATCTAGCTTTTTCAAAGAGATGAATGAAAAAAGAGGTGCAAGCTGAGTCAAACTAGAAGAAAAAAAGAAAGATTTTACAGACAACTGTATCAAGAAATCCTTAATAGTAGAGACACAAACATTGTACAAATACTGCAGAACTGCATTTCCTAAATTCAAGCATTTATGAGTGATTTGGTAGCAAACATACTGCCAGTTAGCAATCCAAATTGCTAGAAGGACATTGCAAGTTTTCCTTTACTAGCCAGACAACAACTTTCAGGCTGCATGAGATATCATGCAAGCTATTGTTTTCAAAAGTAATGAGGTGGATATTCTTTGAGAAGAACAATCACTTTCATGAAAAGCTTATTCCTTTATGGTACTTTCAAGAGTGTGTTTCTCTTGAGCTAATCTCCAATTAGTTTGAGCTAACCCCAATTAGTTCAATGGAGCTTACACATTTTCATCTGGATTGCTAGAACTAGAACTAAACGGCACAGCCCTTGCTTATGTCAAGTTAGTTAACTCTTTGTGATTCATTCCTAAGAACCAACCTGTATACTCCTCTTTTCAGAGTCTTTTCTTTCAAGCTAAAGATGAAATGAAAGGTACCCACCCCAGCTGTAACCTAGATACAAAGAGTTCTTTTCTTGCTTTACAGGAAGCTTAGTAGTGGGATAAAAACTAGCTGCTGTAAACGTTGATACTATGCTTCTTGTGTCACCTCTTTCTCTTGCAGCATTTAACGCAAGGCTCAGAAATTGCCTTCCATGCTAGGTATTATTAAATGCATGACAACAGATCTTTGGCCATTCTATTTCCAAACATAACTCCATTTTGACGTGCTTTGGCTTTTCCCATTATCTTCTGTCCCGTATGTGTAAATGGTTTTCTTAATATACATATGTTTCAGAAAGATTCAAAGAGGATTATTGGCCCTTATGAAGTGAGCAATCTGACAGTTACTCTTATGGAGAAACAAATTTTATTTCAGGATGGTACTATGTGTGACTCTTATCTGATTGACTATGCTAACGTTGATTAAGCTGTATTTGCAGAACTTTAGGTTGGAAAAACAGGAAAGTGCCTTATCCCAGAGCAGGATATTTGTCCAGTTCCAGGGTCCTGGCAGAAAGGAAGCCTTTCCCATCATCAGACCCTTTCAAATGGAAATCCCAGGGAGTGAACCTGGGATCTTCTGCATGCAAAGCATGTGCTCTGCTCTGGAGCTATCCCTCCATCTGAATAGTACACACTGGTATCTTTCCTATATAGCAAGAAAATATGTGATCTGTATTTTTAACAGGAAGAATTGATTCTGTTGTGAAAGATCTATTCTTATGTTGATGCATCTTCCCCTCCCTTTCCATCTTAGTCCTTTCTTCTGAGGCCTTTAAAATGTCTTGGAAAGTGGGGTAGATGCACTTGCGTGTCATTTGGTTGCTCTTTATTGGAACAGTTGTTTGGATCTTTCTGAATACCTGAGTATCAATATACATAATGTTCCATAAGAGGGTTTATCTAATTCCCTTGGATTGTCCTAAAAGTGGCACAATTCTACAGTTGCCAAAGTCATCTACTACAAAGAAAACACTTCTAGTGCTATGCAAGAAATGACCAAGGACATTACTGCTGATTCTTGTCTGACTAATTTATGGAAAAGGCTATACAGGAAATATCAAATGTTCATTGAAGTTATATTTTACTGAGCTTGAATGAATGTTGAATCAATGACTGATTTAACAAGTAATGCTTTTGATATTGTACCAGATGATTTGCTGGACTACTGTTTTTTTAAATGACCATCCTTGAAGAAGACTCATTGACGAATATGGATTGGGCTCAGTAACACTATCCCAGCTTTCTTTCCTGAAGCTACTGAAGTGCATAGCAAATGCCAGGTGTTACAGACTAGTATTTTGAGAAACCAGTCCTATGAGCTTGGTAAGGATATTACAGGGACCAGAGGATATGGCACATTTTTCCTTCTGAAGGAACAAAGAGAAGTTTCTCATTGGAAAAAACCTAATCATGGATTTCTGTTCCCAGCCGTTATGGAAACTTTCATGATGGCTTATTTCTTGAGGTTGGTGCTCTGACCTTGAGGACAGGATCTGTTCTGCATGTAAGACCTTGGCAGGATAATTCTGAGATTCTAATATTAAAGTGTCTATCTCTGCTTTCTTTAAATATAAAATGTAGTTATTTAAAGAGAACTCGCCAGAGGAGGAATTCTATGAAGAATACCTAATCTTCCAGTGACTGCACAACATGCTGCTGAACACATAGCTAGCAGTGGTGAATTTGCCAAGCACTTCAATCACTAATTGATCAAAATGTGGCCATTTTGATTAAGACTGTTTGGAGTACTTTGGCAGCATACAAGTAGAAGTGTGAATCTTCAAATCTCTGATTCAGTGGTCATTGTACATTTGTCTAATTTTTTGAATGCTCTGATACCATGAGCATGGGCTGCATAATAAAAACATAAATATAGACAAAAGGTGGCAGAACTATTTTGAAAAGCTTTCTGTTCCTTGTGTAATACATCATATGTTGTTTGTTAATACTGGCATTTCAGTCTTGCAATTTAGAGACCTCAATGTCTTATTTCCTTTCAGAAGTAAAATTGTTACCTTGTACACTACTTCTATTTAAGATAAATCCTTTTTCAGTCTGTCATTCTATAGCTTCCTTTCCACTGGCGGTCTTTGTCTTTTTTTTTTTCTTTTTTAGAAAATTCAAACCAGAAAGACAAAGGACATTACAGAAAACTTAATACCACTTGACCTTGTCCCACTAGCCCTGGGCATTAAAAGGATATAAATTACAAAGACGACACAAAGAAAAAGATAATTTTTTTAAAAGATCCAATAGCTTCCTTTTTCTGGGTTCAGTTAAAACCAAAGAAGTTGGAAAAGACAATCTGGGGATTTTTATGAAGTGAATAAATTGAAAGAAACTTGAAAATGTAAGTTAATAAGCATTTATATACCTCCTTATCTACTAAAAGCCATCAAGCTGGTGCACAACAATTTAAAACAACAACACTTCAAAACAAGTCAAAACAATAAGAACAGTTGTTCATTTCATGCTGGTTGCAGGAGGTTGGGATAGAACTCTGATTCCAGGTTGAAGCTTAGTCTCTGACCTCAGATCTGAAACTCCAAACAATCCTATGGCCCCTTAGATAATATCTAGGGGCCATAGGATCACTCACTCCAGTCCAAGTTCAGAGACAGAGTTAAGAATGTCTTAAAGCTCCAAGCTGATCCTTGTTTATTTGGGAATAAGTCCCATTGAGGCCAATGGGACCATATTGCATTGCACTGTAAATCTTTTGTTTGAATCCTGTTGATTACAAAGACCTGTTGTGACTGAACCTCCTCCTTGCATAACTGACCTAACTAATTTAGAAATAATGTTTTAAAGCCTAATGTGCTATAACTGCATATTGTGGTGCATAAAAATAAAGACTATTGTTCTAAAAGATTTCAAAGCTGAATTATTCTACTCTGAGCCCTTATCCTTCCATGTTTAGATGTGAAGCAGTATATAAAAACTGTATATAAAAATAAATAACAGTGGCATGGAAACCATTAACAAGAAGCTAAGCTAACCAAAAATGTTGAATCAGCTTTAACTTAAGACTTGCTTAAGCATAGGTCTTAAATATAATACCTCTGGAGCAATCCTATGCATGTTTAGACAGAAAAAGTCCCATAATTCCTGACATTCCCCAACCAACCATGCTTCCTAGGGAAGGCTGAGAATTGCAATACTTTTTTGCTGTCTAAATATCCACTGAATGTTGCCCTTACTTTCTTTATAATGCCTTATCTTCCACACATTTGTCTAATCTTCTCTTAAAACCATCTAAGTTGGTGGTCATCACTACATCTTATAGAATTAAATTTCACAGTTTAACAACATACCATGTAAAGAAGTAATAAAGGGAGAAAAACTGTCTATCCACTTGTGTCACCTCGTATATAATTTTATACATTTCTGTCAGGTCCCTGTTTAATTGCCCATTTTCTAAACTATAATGCCTGCATAAGGAAGTTGCTTCAGCAACTGAAACTTTTCAAGGCCTTTTTCTGCACTTACACAACTTTTACAATATGTCTTTTGACATACAGTAACCAGAATGGTGCACAGTATTCCAAGTATGGTCACAACACAGATTTATATTATGACATTATGATACTGGCATATTTTAATTTTCCATTCCTTTTCCCAATGATCCTTCAACATGGAATTTTTATTTTCTTTTAACAGCAATTGCACATTGACTCCAAATTTCCTTGAGCTAACCACCACAGTTCCAAGAACCCTTTCATAGTCAGTCACTGCTACTAGAAAACTGTCAGGGATGAGCAACTGATAGCCTTAAAGATGTTCTGGCCTACCACTCCCATCTGACTTAGCCAGCAGTGCCAATAGTGAGGGTTAATGGACTGGTAGGTCAAAACATCCAGGGCTTTACAAATTTCTCACTCCTTGTACATGTGAAGTTAAGAAAGTGTTAGCATCCACTTTACACTTCACTTTACACTTGCTTGCATTGACCCACATATGCCATTTGAGTGTCTATTTCCCCAAATGTGGAAGCATCTTTGTGGAGCCTAACAGCTAGAGAAACACAGCCAGTAGGAGGGTTTTTTTTTGTTTTTGTTTACTTTTGCTGTGAGATTTTTATCCCTCTAGATTTCTCTGCTTATTGGTCTACAGAGCCTACAGAGTCCTCAACAAGCAGAGCTTTGACACGGTGGGGTTGTGCTGATATGATATGGATGCAACATGTAGCTAGGCTCTGAAAAGAACTGCTATAGCTTTACTTATCAAATATTAGGTTAACCATGGTTCACAGAACTAATGAAAAGGGTAAAGCAAATGTATTTATGTACATATCCATATGCTACTTTTCCTGAAAAAATTGTCAAAGGTGGCTGTTTTATTAAAAATAACAATGAAAAATCAAGAATGAGGCCCAAACAACATGAGACTGAGACACAACAACCCAATGTATAAAAAATTAAACTCTTCATAGTGTAGGATGCACTTGGAGATGTGAGCATTCAGAATGTATGTAATTAAAACTATTTGATACATATTACTTCCACATTGGTTCAAATTATTAATGCTGATAAGGTTTAAGATCCCTTAGCCTGAGAAGGCTTAGAACACGTAGCTGTTAGTGGGGGGAAACAAACTAACTAAGAAAGAAAGAAACTGGTTTCCAGAAACAAAACTGTATGCTGAAACTTGCTAATTAAATGCTTAATTTTTATAACTGAGAAACAGTTTGCCATGAAAGGCAAATCAAGATCCTGTTGCTTGGTGAAACAAAACAGTATTATAACCATTGTATCCAAGAGTACCATTCTGGCAGTGAGAAGGACCCAATAGAAGACTAGATTTCCATCACTGCTCCCTCCTGCAACACCAAGCATCCTCTCCTTCCCCGCTGAACCCTACTCCTGAAGGTTGTGTGATCCTCTAGAGTGGATCTGGGACATGTATAAGGTTATAGTCTGTGAGAAGTCCCTTTGTGTGACTAGAAGTCCTATTCCAATCATGCAACTTTTGGATCTAAGTAAAACAGAACAGCATTGTAGGTTTGGAAGCACATTCTTTAAACTTCTCATCTTTTTCCACTGAAGTACAGTATTATTTCAGCAAACTCCTCATTCTGTCATTGCACATAGTGTGAGAGAGTCTGATTGTGCTTCAAAACCCCTGAGAGTAAGGACATGCACATTTTCTGAGAAGGGGTGTTGCACTGCTTGTAGTAATGCTCCTTCTGAAAAAAACAAAACAAAACATGTAGGTAGCACATTTGCTTCAATATTCAGAAGGCAGAACTTACAAGGGATTGAAGGTAGAACTTTCAGCTTTAAGTTGTAGCCATCTAATTTTTGTTATTATGTGCTCCCAATTCATCTGTGACCCTATGAATGAAAGCTCTCCAATCTGGAAGTAAATCAGAATAGGCATCTACAGAGTGTCACTCATTTCTTCCTATAATGTCCAAAGCAGTATATGTAAAAAAGGAGATAATCTTGCAGTTCACAGAATTACCACTCTTTACTACAGAAACTCAGCAACAGGACATAACTTTTTTCTGGATTGTTTTACTCCCAAACAAGTCATGATTCCTAAATGATATGACCGGAAACAAGACATACCTAGGCAGGCAATTAGGTGAATGATACCCGATATTTACCTAATTAGTCCTGATGATCATGCAAACCAGGTTAGTGTCAACAATACTGAGTTTATGGGACATGTATAAGGCAGCTTCTTATGTTTCTATTAATGAAGAAGTATCTCAAGTTTGGATTTGATGTCTGAGATTGCACCATCTTTATTCACTGAAGTAAGACAAATCCCTGCTGCTGGCTGGTCATAAAGATGCCTGTGGATAACCTGCAATAACTTTAAAAATACTATTGAATAAAGAAAGCTCCCAGTATTGTAGAAGGCCCTGGCTTACAGTCTGGTTAGTTTCTCTAGATGGAAAGTGGTCATATATCTCATCTTATGCTTCTGTCTTGGGCTAGTCTTGTTTATATAGCCAGATGTTTAGAAAATCCTAAGCGACAACACAAACTTTTTTTTGTTGCTACCCCTGCTTTTGTAATTTGTAATGTAATATTTGATAGAAATTGCTACTGAAATGTTTACAAATAGTAATTCTAAAGGAATACAATTGGAATCACCAGAGTGCCATCAATGAGTTGTTGATCAGTGAACAGTCAAGGAAGCTCTGATATGACTTAAGCATCACATAAAGAGGTAGAATTATAGCAATTGTATAGCTGTTTACCACAGTGGTTACACAGCAGATACAATGTTTCCTGGTCAATTAACAATAGCTCAGAGATCAGGAAAACTCCCTAGACTTTGCTACTTCTACACTTCCTTCATAGTTCTCAATCTCTTATGTCCCTCTGCTTTTCAATTTATTCCCTTCATTTTAAGAATTCACTACAGTTAGTAGCATGCCTACAATAAGTGTAGTTGTTGTTCAGTTTTTTAAGAAACCAGATTTGAAATCACAGCTGGGGTGGGATTCATATAATTGTTTTGAAGCTATCAATGCTTTGCAAACTAACCCTAATGTTAAAAGATTGGGTGGGGGTTTTAAGGATATGGCAGGCAGGAAGTGAAAAATGTGCAAGCCAGAGAAGGAAGCGAGAGGAGAGAAGAACGTAAGAGCCCAAGGGATGTTACTGCTCTCTTAACTCCTGTATGACAACAACTTTTATTAAAAAATGATGGATAACTCCCAAAAGCAAAAAGCATTGAGAATATTATAAATGTATGTTGCATACTGAAATGTGAGAGAAAAGTGCCCCCCGTGACAGGGTGCTGATGTAATGTTACTTAGTTATTTAGCAATGGCAGTGAGCACAGGCACTCATTGCTCAAATTTCTGCACTTAATACATTTTCTGAACGTATGCGATGCTTTAAAATTAGGAGTTTAATTCTGTGAAATAAAACTTTATTAGGCATTTTACTACATATTGACTACAAACTAAAGCTGAAGACCTGTTATCATCTATTACTTGCAAATTAGACTTTCCTACTTGAGTGCTTTATTCATAAGGAATATATGGATTCACAATCCTAACATTCATAGGGGCTTCCTGCAATCAACAAAAAGGAAATGACACTCAGTGCACACTCTTAAGCAGAAATTGCACAACTGCATCAGCTGCAGGATAAAAGCAAAGGAACAGCTTTTCTTTCAACAGCTTACTTCATTACATTCAGTCCTTCTGTATAAAACATCCAATCACTTATGCCATAGTAGAGGCATATGGATTTGCTTAGTACAAGGCTATGTTAATGGTTATTAACTACTGAAATATTACTTATTTCTGCTTAGTCATCTGTTCTGATCATAACTGTCATCCATTCTAGCTATTACAGACATGCAGTGATCTATTATCTATAGTGTCCTCATTCTCACTTTGGCCCAAATGTTAAAGATGGTGACACATACAACAGATGTATGGGAAGCTTTTGCTGCTAAAATGTCAACCATTAACCATTCAGATATGATACTGTGACAAACTGTTTGCTTTCACACAGCAGGAAATGCACTAGTTGTTGACTGCAATGCAAAGCTTCAAAAGTGGGAATAGTAGTAGTGAAGTGAAGCAAAACAAAGAGAAGAAACACACAGGCCTCAAAATATATGATAAAACTCACAGCTCAATGCTGTGGAAGAACATACGATTTGTACTACATAGTGCTTCATCTTTTCATTTCAAAAAGGTCCTGAAAAGTAACAGATCTGGAAAAGAACTCTGCTTAAGAGCAGCTTCAAGCCAGTGCAGATCACACTGAGTTAGATGGATCAATGGCCCACACAGTTTAACACAGCTTCTTATGTTAAAGAGGAGGCAAAATTAGGATCAAGGCAGAGTAAGTTCTTTAAAATGTGCAAAAGAACAGAAAGAAAAAGAAAAAAACCAGAGCACATACAATAGATAACAATAAATACTACCAATAGACATTTGATAGTTTCCATAGTTTTTAGAGACATGGGCTACAATCCTATACCCAATTACCTAACTGTAACCCCTTGAACTCAGTTCTGCACAGACATTTATATGATTGCATTGATGGGCTACAATCCCATGTACCTTTAACAGGAAGTAAGTTACATGACACATGGTTGGACCTCCTTCTGAATAGACACACATAGGATTGCACTATGAATTCAACTGTGATGACAGAATTATATTCCACCCATCCACCTATCCTTCTGTCTTAAATTCTTCAATGAGTCCAAGAAACTCTGAGTTTCTTGTAAATTGTGATTTACACTGCAATTCTATGCATCTTCAGACAGAAAAAGACCTACAGTTTTCAATCTACTCCAGCCAGCATGACTGTATGCTTACTGGCAAACAATTTAATGCCGGGTTTAATGGCATTTACTACTTGTTTTCAATAATATAGTTCTTGCAAATATGCAGTTAGTGTCCTCTGGCACCACAGAATTCCAAAATGACAAGGTGATAAGTGTCTGAGTGGATAAATAAGCCAATAAAAATGTTGTGATACATTCAGCCATGTAAGTTGTGGATTCCTGTTGTAAGGAACTTAATAACAATTTTTTAAAATCCTCATGAAGTTTCAGCACTATTCATTCAACAAAAATCTTGCTAACCAACATTTAAGCAAGCTAACATGCTATGCTTACTGAACAAAAAAGGTTGCCTATTACAGGACCCACTTTCAGTGGCAAGAAAAAATATTATACTTTCCATCAAGCACTTATTTTAAAATATCACAGTTACTACTGGAAACACTCCAGGAAATATTCATATACGACTTCCATGCTAATGATTGAAGTTATGCTGCAACAATTCTTATGTGCATGAACATTTATTTAGTAAGGATTTTACATTCTACTTATCCCCTCCAAAACATGGCTCACTCAAAGTGCCTGACAAAATATGTTTAAAAAATGAAAATCACAACAGCAGTCATTTAGCAATGCTTATACTACATTCTATAGATTTCTGACAATGGGTTCTCTACTGTGTTTTGAACCATACAATCAGGTCTTACGGTTGCTTAACAATGTGTTAAACCTACTTTATATTTAACTAACTCTGTGCAGTTGAGTGAATAAACTGGTGGAGGAGATTCTTTGTGCTTCTCTACTAGTCAAGTTGCTTTCCATGCCAGTCATGAACAAAGGGAAGGTTGAACTTCAGCTCCATCCTTCCTCTCCCAGCCTACTTGCTACTTTTTTAAAAATCCTAAGTAGTTTCTTGCATTTCCATATTGTCCATAGAGATGGGTTTCCATTTCATGGTCAGCACACACAAGCTACTGGTCTCTTAGCAGGTTAGTAACTCTTCTGATTTGTATTCTAAAATAGCATTTCTACAACTATCTTTGTAGTTAAAAGTTTTACCTGTTTTGTGAGAGAAGAAGTATCTGTAGCAAAGGCAGCCAATATGTAGAACATATTTCCAGTGATGAGATACTATTATCTTCCAAGTATAATTCTCTTAGCAGGACATGATTTTCCAGGCTGGGGAACTAAAGATAAATCAGCAATATATGAACAGTATATTAGAGAACATTGTATGGCAAACTTAAAGTTACCAAGGGCTGTATGAGATGCCTTAGCTTTGACTTACATATTCATTAATAGAACAGGCAGTTCTGTGACCATGGAGATGGGTGATTTCCCCCAGTGCAGCCACCTATGCAACCTCAAAATCTTTTCTGGACAGCTTGGAAACCCTATGGAGCCCATAGCCAGGCATCACATAGGGCCACAGTGGGGAGAAGAGAATGAAAATCTCTCTCTTTCTAGTTGGCATCTATTAGGATAAATGATGGATTTAGCTTAAATTAAATCCAACTTAGATTAACCACACAAACAAAAATAAGTTCCACTGAAATTCAAATAGACTTATTCCTGTATAAACATTGTATGTCTTAGAGATCAATATGGATGGTGCGTTTGTCTACTTACATCGAATTCTAGAGAGAGATAGCCAAACTAGTCTGTTACAACAAAAACAAAGGTCCTGGGGCATCTTAAAGATTAACAGATCAATTGTGTCATAAACTTTTGTGGAGTAATATCCAGTTTATCCAGTTTATTATATGAATTTTCATGGAAAAAGAGGAAAAATGGATGCAATAGAGCCAAATGTTAGTCTAAGCACATTCTCTAAAATTCCTATGAAAAGCTCAATGGTCTATAAGATAAGCTGAGTAATCAATCACAATAGCTGTAAATGGTGATAGTACGTTCCCCATATTGTGTGTGTGCATGTTTATCTTTGCTCAAGACTCTTGTCTTTTAATTTTTGGTCACATTATTAGTCACAGCAATGTATGTGGATGATATCCACTCCCATGCTCTTGATTGATAAGGCAGCTGTGGACATAAATGGTGGTCAATAAGGAATTGTGAATAACACATTATTTCAGTAATAACACTGAAATTAAAGAATTTGAAAGGAGTTTTGTGTTAAAGCTACACAAAGCCCTTCCAAGATTAGCAAACATGTCCCCAGTTAAATGGTAACCTTTTCTCTGGAACAGGAAGGAATATCTTGTATAAAATGAGGTCTACTATTTACACACATACATGATCTAAAAACAAAGAAAATATGCTATTTGGAATTACGGGTTGTAGGGATTGAGCTCATTTCTCTCAAAATACAGCATTCCAAGGTGGTTACTTCAAATTTCAATTAATTGACTAAAACTTGAATGATTAATCAGACTAATGTTTATTTAATCAAGTAGACAACTAAAGATAATCTGTGTAAAATCATGTTTGTTTTACCTCATTGAGGTTATTCCCCTGCAACTTCAGGATTTGAAGAAGACCACAATTTTGAATTCCTTCAACTTCATTAAGATGGTTAAAGGAGCAATCTATATAGACTAGAGTAGGAGTATCAGAAAGCCCTTTGGTGCTGATCAATTGATTGTGACTCACAACCAGCCGCTGGAGATTTTTCAATGACTCCAAGCCACCTAAAAAGAAAAGTCTAGCATTTCAAATCTTATTAAAATGCCTAGGCTTTGCTTTATGTACTCATGCATATAACACACAGATTTTATATGATGATGAATTCATGTCTGCCTCAGTGTTTCCACCTTTGTATAAATATACTTTATTGTGCTATATTACTAAGCATCAGAAAACCATCACTTACCTAGAGTATGTAAACAGTAAGCAATTCTTTTGAAACAAATAATACTTTTATCTCAGCATTTATCATATTTTATTTTCTATTCCTGGATTCAGTCACAGACATGAAAATCTCACAGTCGGTTTTTTTGAAAGGAGGCATTTATTTTTTATTGATAAGGATATATTGCACTTCAATGGCATCCCAGGGCAGCATAATTAAAATAAGTAAAAGTAACTGCACTAACAATACAATTTGCAAGAACAGTCTAAAATCACATGGTAGAGTTTTCAACGATCTAATTTGAAACTAACATAAATTAAATTAAAAGGACCTAGAAAACAAATAGGTATTTGGGGATGCCAGAATGGCATCAAGGAAGCTGCTAGATGAGCCACTCAGAGATTTGGGGCTAAGTTAGGGGTAAAGCATTGAGATGACCCACTTCTGGTGGGGGCTCCTGAACAAGAGCTTTGAATGTGGTTCTTAGTGCCTGGATCATCACATACAGCAGGTGATCTTTCCAGTGGTGTTTATCTTTTTCCTGGATGCCCAAAAGTGTCTTACCATGTTTGGCCACAGCATTTGCTATTTTCACTGCAAGTCACTTCCCAGCCCCAGCAGCTATACATATTTAAATAGTTCATCATGCTACTAATAAGGGGTATTGTTGTGCGCCTACCTGTTAGCAGCATTTTTCTACATAAGCTGTCAAGACAGCTCCATTCTAATCACATTAAACTTACTAACTGTGCAATGCACTTGAACTTATACAAAGTCAGTACAGCAGACCATAGCCCTTGGCTCATTGATGCAAAATACTCATTTTGAGCACTTTTTAAATTACAAGATTATTAGAAATGATTTAAAATTATGTACACATGTGCATTTGTTAAAAACAACACTGCCACAATTCTACTCTCTCTCTCTCTCTCTCTCTCTCTCTCTCTCTCTCTCTCTCTCTCTCTGTGTGTGTGTGTGTGTGTGAGAGAGAGAGAGAGAGAGAGAGAGAGAATGAGAGAGAGAGAGATGTTCCCATGCTTCTTGAATAAGGCATTTCTTAAATGTAGCATTAATCATATCTCTAAGGTCTTTTGTCCTTTTGTGATAAAGACAGAGCAAGGTACATTCACATCAACATATATTTGCTCAATGAGACTGGTTTAAACACAAACACACAACTGTTTCAGTTGTGAAACAGGCAATCCTACACTTCTTTCATATTTTGAAAGTATGCATATCTTTTCCTCTACAGAAATGGAAACAAAACAGATATTCTTTGTTGCACTTTCAACTGCTAATTTTTCAGCTGCTAATATTTTGGTTTCTCTACAGGAATAGGGGTTAATCATGCTTTCAATGAAAGAGAGATTGAGAGATTGAGAGATTGAGAGATTGAGAGAGAGAGAGAGAGAGAGAGGGAGAGATCTTACTGTTTCAGTATGTAAGAACACATTGGTATGCATCTCCGGAACAAGAAATACATTTATACCAATTTGCACTAAATATATAGTTGCCAGACTATGTGATGATATGGTGCAAAACAGAAGCAGTAGCATACATATAATAATAAATAATTAGAATAGGGTTGGTGGAGATTTCCTAATGTCAGAAGAGATTTTTAAATGACTCTTTAAACAAATGTTTCTATTACTCAGAAAGATGGAAGGCATTGCCAAAACTGCAGGATAATATGTATATAGTTCATTAAATAACTACACGATGGAAAACAACAAAATACAGGGACAGGTTCCCCCTGAAGTTGGTAGGGAGGATTGCATTTTTCCAGACCCCATTCACTTTATTAATTTATATATTTTGCAGTATTTCTCTACTATTCCATATTTAAGCTGATTTTGGAGGAGTAAACAGTACTGTTTTTATTCTTTTACCTACTTTAACAATACATAAATAACAGGATAACATTAAAAACAAGGTGAGTCAACAGAAAAGGCTTCCCAGTATGAGGCATCCTGTCTTTAGCAGGTTCTTTGGAAGGAAAAGGCAGTTTATAACTGATAGGATATATAGCTTGCTGCTTGTTTCCCCCCACCCCACCTGCTGAATGCAGGTCATGAAGAAGGAAAAGAAAGAACAGCTGCCAGTACTCTAACCTTGCTATTATTTTCAATCCAACCATTTCGTGTATGGATTTCAATGCATGCTTCTAATGTTTTCCAGTGTGAATGCTGTCATATAGAAATAGTGCTCCTATATACTGAGCTCTATTGATCCATATGTTTTGGATGCTCATTCTTTAATGGAATTTTGATTAGAACTGTGCTAAAGAAGATACTTGCCTGTGCACCAGAAAACTTCTATGTGCAATGGACATTTGCTCGATCCTTTTGTAATCCCCACTGAAAAGAAATCTCTTTAGTTTTGGAAATGCTGTGGTAAAAGTTTTGATAAAACCTTATTTGGATTTTGGCTTATGTTTCAAATTAGAATCAAAGACAGTAATACTTATAGATAGGCATGCAGTCTGCCTGCACGTGAAAATATATTTCTAATATTCATGCAGCAAACAGCAGAAGCTATCCTACCCACCAAATCATAAATATGTATGAATTTAAATGTTACCACACTCAAGCTGCAGTCCTACCCTATATGTACTCACCTGGAAGTAAGCTGCATTGAACTCAGTGGGACTAGTTTTAAATCAGACATGTAGCTTCTAAGATGTAGTTCTGCACAAGTTCTATGTTATTTTTTGAAACAAAACTTCCTTAGTTCATTACCTGAAGTAGTCAAATAATATTTAAATATCAAGGAAGACTGGCCACCATTCCTCTGTTACTAAGAAATAATTTCAAACAGACTACTGAGTTTGTTTATGCACAAAATTACAAATTACTTGTTTGGATTTTGTCTAAAGTGAAATAACCTCAAAAGCTAACTGGCACCATCTAGTGGATTAACAGAATACCCAAGAAACAATCATTGGACCTATTTAGACATATTCCCTCCCTTCTTCTGAGAAAAGTCCAATTATTATCCTTCTTTAATAAAGCAGCAGAACTCATATAATGGTTGTCGGAAGAGCTATGAGAAGTGACATCTTCTCTCAGTGTGTGCATTTCCATCCTTTCTGGGGGTAACGTGCACAGCATATATTCTTTTTTTTGTGGGGGGGGGCAGTAGCAGGGAAGGAAAGGGTTAACTGTCCCCATACCAGGTGCAGTGGGCATCCCTGTACCACCAAAATCACCATACCTGAACATGCTGTTATTTAAAATATATACAAATGACAGGCTAATTATACATTTAAGGCATAATTCAGTGATGCTGCCCATAACCATCCAAACATGAAGGATTACAGGCATTCTGTGCATGGCAGGAGAAGCACATAGGTGAAGGTTGCCTCCACATTCCTTGTGCTATGCAAAAGATCTAGACAGCTATTTCTGACCACTTAAGCATTCAGCCTCTGAGTAGGTGGGAAGGAGTGTAATTTGCCACTCAGGTATGACATACTAGCAGAGCCTGTATTTTCTCCTCTTTAGATTTCCACCCCATTAGGATAATTGTCTTAATACTGAGTGAAAGTGTGCAGAATGGTAGTTAACAAGCACATGTGAATTATCTCACAGTAGACAGATATACAGTACACTATATAGAAAGTTTTAAACATCACATTTTATCAACAGTTTTCTATATTCTTCTCTACATTCAGTTTTGAAAAGTAACACATTTATGAAGAGTTCATAAATGACTAAAATTAGTATTAAGACGAATGGTATACTGAACCATTTTAAACTGGCTGTAGTAATGGGGGACGGCACTGCTACACTGCAACTTTCAAATCTACCTATGGTAATTCTAGAGGATTTAGAGATGGAAGAAAGGGGAAAAATCGTTAAAAACACAAGTCTATCTTTGTGTGATTCTATACAATTTTTTTAAAAACCTTCTCAATATGTTATTGTGTAACATGAAATGTATGCTATGTAGCTTACTAACCAGACCTCCCCAAAGCAGCTGACGAGGACAGAAATGCAGGCTCCAAGTGGTTTTCTTGAACATCTACTTTCTCATTCAAACCCATCTCACTTACGGGTAAGCACAGTGCTTTCATTGTATATACAGACAGGACAGGAGGCATTTATTCCCTTGGCTCTGTAGTCTCCATAGCCAAGTCTCATCAATTCATATTATGTCACTCTCACATTAATCTTTCAGATAGTCTACCTAAGGAAATCCATCCGAAACAAGTAATCCCTTACAGTACCACTGGCATTGAAGACAGATTGAACGCAGGTTCCAGCATTTCTCCTACCAATCAGTCCACCTTGTTGGTTTACCTTGGATTACTGATATTTGAGATTTAAAAAACACCAACGTTCACTATTTCATGTAGAAACGAATGCCTAAAATGTTGATGTCACTTTAATATTTTGGAGTTAACAATCCAAAGCACAGCCAATTGGATTGGCTTCATGATCATTATAAAAACTCAGATTTAAAAGCTCTGTTTGGTAAGTTCTGATTGACTTACTGTCAAGATCAAAAGGTTTCTTTTAAACAGTTCGTTTTGTAACCTTCTAGGTGATACAAAAAGTCTGTATATACAGCCAGATTTTACTAAACAGAAGCATTCATTCTGTTACATTGAGACAATTTTGCAGGAGAAGAGCCATTGAAACATTTTGCAAGCAGAAAAAGATCACAATCTTAACTCCTTATCCCTTTTGTGAGAACATCTTGTTTGTCTGCTTTCTTGGCTGCAGTCTTTACTTTTATTTACCATGTTGTACCTGTCTGTGCTGATTCACCACTTGAATCCCTGAATTCTGAAAACCATTTTCCTAAAATAATATTGGAAATTTATTTGCAATGATGAATTAGATTTATATATTTTAATAATCACAGTCGTGTACATTGAAGGGAGCTGTGTTCCACTCTGTTTTATTGTAAGACTGTCCCAAGAGCTCATTAGCAGAAGTAAGTAAAGGTTGGATTCTATTTCTTTGAAAAACTCCAGAATGACCACTAAAAGAAAATCTCAGTGATACTATGCAGGAGCTGGATATTCTCAGTGACTACCATTTAAACCTGTGGGGAAAGTAAGCAGGCTGTGATTTGAGATGCTGTGGTTGGGAGGAAAAGTGCAGATGCTGGCATGTTGAGTAGAATGGAAGGCAGGCAGATCAGTGAAACCAGCATATCAGTGAGAATGAGTTTGCATATACAAATTTTGTCCCTCATGATAGATACTGGGTTCACCTCAACATAGATCAAGGGCATCTAATTATTTTATCTTGAAATGGAAGACATTTACTTGGACTGGAATGCAGAGACATAGAAACAGAGCAAGTCAGAAGAGGCCTCCTGGGCCATCTAGACTGACTCCAGGCTCCAGCTGGCTTCACTCATGAAATATCCATTCTGTGCATGTCCAGCCTATCCTTTAACATGCTCACCAATAAGGCTTCAAACACATCCTGTGGAAGCACATTCCATACCCTAGGACAGTGAAGGTGAACCTTTTAGAGACTGAGTACACAAACTGCAACACAAACCCCACTTATTTATCGCAAAGGGCCAACACTGCAACAAAACCTTAACACTGAACTTTCAGTTTTGAAAAAACAACTCACAGCCAGTTCAACAAATTTGTTTATATATACTTGAGAGAGCACTGATTGGCCATGCAAAAGCTCAAAACAAATTGTGGTTACTGAGTCATGGCTTATGACGTTATCATCTGGTACTGCCACTCATTTTCTGAGCATGCGCATGGCCCCTATGTGCACTTTTATCCAATACTTGGCTGCTGGGGTGATGCTGGGGCAACATGGCCCGCAATCTGAAAGAGAGGGCTATGAATGCCCGCTGTGGCATGTGTGCCATAGGTTCACCACCACTGGCCTAACCCTTGCTTGAAGCACACCCCTGACCCTAATGTATGGCAAAAGTCCATTGAAAAATGGCCGATTTTGAAATAGTCTCCCTTGAGTAGCTTTCTCTGCACAGCTCAACATTTCTGCCTATTCAAAACACATCTCAACCATAAAACCATGCCAGGATACCTCATTTGTCTAACCCACACTACCCTGGAGCACACTCCTAACCCTAATATAGGGAGAAAGTCTATTGAAAAGAACGTGATTTTGAAATAGACATCCTTGAGGAGCTTTTTCTGCACAGCTCAATGATTCTGCCCATTCTAAACACATCCCAGCAATCAGAATCATGCTAGGACACCTAGTTCTTCTAACGCTAACCCTATCCTAGTGCTCACCCCTAACCCTAATATAGGGAGAAAGTCTACTGAACAGAGGGTAATTTTGAAATAGCCTCCCTTGAGTAGGTTTTTTTGCACACCTCAACATTTCTGCTCAATCTATATACATTCCAACAATCAGAATCATGCCAGGACACCTACTTTTTCTAACCATAACTCTACCCTGGTACACACCCTTAACCCCAATACAGGAGAAAGTTCCATTGAAAAGAGGGCAATTTTGATATAGCCTCCCTTGAGTAGCTTTTTCTACACAGCTCAACATTTCTGCCCATTCTGAACACGTCTGAACCAGCAAAATCATGCCAGGACACCTAATTTTTAGAACCCTAACCCTACCCAGCTGCATACACCTAATCCTAATACAGTGTGAAACTTCCATTGAAACGAGGGTTATTTTGAAAAAGCCTTCCTTGAGTAGCTTTTTCTACACAGCTCATCACTTCTGCCCATTCTAAACACATTCCAACCATCAAAATCATGCCAGGACACCTAATTTTTCTATCCCTAACCCTACCCTGGTGCACACCCCTAACCCTAAAAGAGTGTAAAACTCTATTGAAAAGAGGGTGATTTTGACATAGCTTCCCTTGAGTAGCTTTTTCTGCACAGCTCAATGGTTCTGTCCATTCTAAACACATTCCAACAATCAGAATCATGCCAGAACACCTAGTTTTTCTAATGCTAACCCTACCCTGCTGCACACGACACCTAGTTTTTCTAATGCTAACCCTACCCTGCTGCACACCCCTAACCCTAATACAGTGTGAAATTTCAATTGAAACAATGGTTATTTTGAAAAAGCCTTCCTTGAGTAGCTTTTTCCGCGCAGCTCATCATTTCGGCCTATCCTAAACACATTCCAACCATCAAAATCATGCCAGAACACCTTATTTTTCTAATCTTTACCCAGTGAGTGTGAACATTTTAGAGACCGAGTACCCAAACTGCAACCCAAGCCCTACTTATTAATCTCAAAGTGCCAACACTGCTATGAAACCTGAAAGCTGAGGTTTTAGTTTGGAAAAAACCACTCAGAGCCAGTCCAAGCATACACATACACACACCCTCGGCAGTGCACCGACCGGTCATGCGAAAGCTCCAACGAATTGCAGCTAATGAGTCGGAGGTCATGACATCACAGCCTGGTGCCCCCACTCCTTTCCGAGCATGAGCCTGGCCAGTATGTGTGATGTAATCTAATGCTCGGCTACTGGGGAGATGCTAGGGCAACTTTGTTCGCGTGCCAACAGAAAGGGCTCTGCATGCCTGCGCGTGCCATACGTTCGCCACCACTGCCCTAGGGGAATGTAGCAGGGAGCTAACTCCCCACCTGTAATTTAGCTCTGTGATGCTGGGGCAACCATCAAAGTCTCCTTGATAGGATACAGAAACAGATTTGCTGCTACTGTTGGTTTGTGAGCAATCCCGAAAGTGGAAACAAAACTGAGAATTCAGCAAGGAATATGGCTATCATGTCACAGTGAGGAAAAGAAAGGTTCAGCTCCTTCCTACCACTAGTCCCACCAAACTACCTAGTAAATCCACAGAGGGAATGATCCTTCCTGGGAAGGAACAAGGAAGAAATCTTGTGTAAGTCCCCACCAAATACCCCTATGGAAAAGGCAGGAAGAGAAAGGCTTCTGTAGAATGGGCAAAAGGCTCAGTTGCTTATACTTATATGAAAATTATGGTTCATTATTTGTTCATTCCACCTCCATCTTTCTTGGTTTGTCTAGGCCAGGGCTCCTCAAACTTTTTCAACAGAGGGCCAGTTGAAAGGTGCCTGTGGTGGGTACAGGCCGCCAAGGCAGTACCAGCAGGGGACCCGGGCCGGTGAGGGGGTTGGGGCAGGGCATGCGGGGTGAGGCAGTGGCTTCTTCGCATAAAGACCATTTTCTCTGAGCGAGTCCAAAACAATCTCTGCATGAGCAAGCTGCTGGCAGGCCCACGCACATCGAGGCGCCAGCTCACTCGCATGGAGATTGTTTTCTCCAAGTCCAAAATGATTTCCACACGAGCAAGCTGCTGCCTCACTGCACGCCTGTACGCGCCCATGAGACAAGTCCAAAACCTCTCAGGCAGGCCAGATAAATGGGCATGGCAGGCTGGAACCGGCTCGCGGGCCATAGTTTAAGGACCCATGGTCCAGACAGTTATGAATCCCAGCAAGCCATACCTCTTCTCTGTCAAGGTAGAAGACATTGGCAGAAAGAAAAGTGCAGTGTCAGGAAATGACTATTTCAAGGTAGCAGTTTTCAAGCTTTCTACTTTCAGGAGTTATCACCATATTGCTTAATTTGCCATGGAACCCAGTATGCTGCAGAAGATTCTCTAGCATCCTCTACAGCTTGCACTTAGTTCTTGCAAGGTATTGATCAAGTCTTGGGATTCTCATTCTTAATCCTTGCAAACTGGGTTGGCAACCTGCAGCCCCCAGGTAGTATTGGCCTCTCATTCCCATTCTCCCTGATCAATGGTCATGGTAAGTGGGGCTGATAAGGACTGGAGTTAATGCAGGTGCTAGGTGAGACATCCAATGCAAAATACCTAGTGCTCTCCTATAGCTAGCTGCACACTGCAAGAAAAGATTAGTAGTAGTGACCATATGGTGTTTCAGGTTTTCTTTTCTGCCATTTGAGATCCTCCCATTGATCAAACTCTGCTATACTTTCCTAGAACAGTTTAAAACTGACCATTTTAAAGAAACCTTCACCAATTCAACATTAGATAGGGCAGAAAGCACAAAGAATCTTTGTCCTCTGTTACATAGTCTTCCTTCATAACCACAATCCTTCATGAGCTTTTTTTTTAAAAAAATTGAGTTTTGTGGCACAACATCCAAGTTTGAAAGCCTAGTATAATTATTTTGCAATATATTTAATACACTAATCCTGTGTTGATATCATTGTACATATAACACAATATTTTTCAATAATAGAAAAAAGCAGAGCATACAGAGATTACAGACCCCAAACTAAGGTGGAGCTAAATTTAATCTCACAAAAATCATTATTAATCACATTTATTAATCTGTAAATATTTGCAGATTATTTATCATTTGAAATACTTTTATTTATCATTTGAATTAATTAATCCCTTACCAATTCGAGTGATTTTATTGTAGGAAAGTTCAAGATTCCATAGATTAGTGCATCCAAATAAACCATGAATACATGAGATATTATTTTTGTTCAGAAGTAGAATGCAGAGGTTTTCCAGATTCTCACAATCAATCACCTGAATATTGTTCTCCTGTAAAAAGAAAAAACCTGGAGAATTCCTTTTTTCCTTTTTGGATGGATAAAAACATTTTACAGTGTAAGACTATGTATTCATAGTCAGAATTAAGTCCCACTGGGTTTCTGAGATTTACTTCCAATACGTGTACTTAGAATGACAGCTCTATGCCTCTATGCTAAAGTAAATTGGTAAAAAGCTATTAAAACAAGCCTGGATACTACTGCTATTCCTATAGAAATACTAAATAGACATGCCAATGCACATTTACTTAAAACTGCCACACTGTCGTGCTAAATATTCTTCTTCCATTAAAATAGCGATGCAAATAAGTTATAAGTTCTGATAAATATATTTAGCATTGCTACCAATGTTTTTGAGTTAGCATTAAACACATTTATTAAAAATAAACAAACACGTAGAAATATCAGCTGCTAAAATGTTAGTGCATAGTCAAATCTTTTGCATTTCCACTGCTTTTACCTGACTAAGGCCATCAGGTCCAACTTCCTGCTCAATGCAGGATTGCAAATTAAACCCTCCCTCTCAGATGGCTGTTCAGTTGCATCTTGAATGTCTCTACTGTGGGAGAATCCACGATTAAGTAACTGGTTTCATTGCAATATTGCCCTAACAGTCAAGAAGTTCTTCCTGATGCTCAGCCAGAGTCTGGCTCCCTGTAACTTGAGCTTGTTATTCCATGTTCAGCACTCGGGGAGGATCAAGAAGAGATCCTTGCCTTCCTGTGTGCAACAACCTTTCAAATACTTGAACAATGCTATCATATATCCCCTCATTCTTCTCTTCTCAAGGCTAAAGATCCCCAGTTCTTGCAATCTCTCCTCATGGGACTTTGTTTCCAGTCTCTGGATCATCCTTGTTGCTTTCCTCTGAACCCTTTCCAGCTTGGCTGGGTCTTTGTTAAACTGTGGTGCCCAGAATTGGACACAGTATTCCAGATAAGTCCTAGCAAGTGCGGAGTAGAGGAGAACTAGTAATTCACATGATTTGGATGTGATACTTTTAGTAATGCAGCCTAAAATAACATTTGCCCTTTTTACAGCCAGATCACATTATTGACTCACATTCAGCTTAATTTTCTTTATTCTCAGTTCAAATATCATAAGTAATGAGAGATCAAATATTCTAAATCTTAAGGTATGCAGAAGAAAACTGCACAGTTTTTTGAGTTGTACACATTAATGTTTTTCTTTTTAAAAAAGCTGCTACCTATATTACATGCACAGAAAATTTAAAGTTAAAACTCTGCATTTGCTAAGCACAGTAAAATAGTTTCCACTCATAGAGTAAAATATGTGATACCTCTACATCTATGTACTTCAGATTTTTGCAGTTGCTAAGTCCTTCCAATGCAAGTAATCCACAACGTCTAAGACTTAAGAACTGAAGCTTTGAACACTGAGACAACGTGGATAGGCTGCAGCCAGGCAAATCTTGAAAGGTAACTGTGGTCACCTAGATGCATTCAATAAGAAATAAATGTATACACACACTAATAACATTTAACTGTTAAATGCATTGGTAATATATAAATTGCACTTCCATAGACAAGTGGTCAGTATCATCTCTAAACACTCAGCCAAAAATTAGGGAAAACAATCCAAAACCATACAGATGACAAAATGGTGAAGGAAACTGATTTTGATTCTTAGCATACCACTATAGAAAGCTACAATATACGATACTGGCTTATGCCAAGTCAGATCAATGGTCTATCCAACTTAAGTCTTGTCTATATCAGTCTTTAACATACTTGATTTTTATCACAGTTTGGTACTAATGGCACTGTTGAAATCTATCCTGAAGTTGTATTTATGTGCTGTCAAGTTATTTCTGACTTAATGGGACCCTATGAATGAAAGCCCTCCAAAATGTCCTATCCTTTCTTAGCTGTTCTAAATTCAAGGCTGTGGTTTCCTACATGCAGTCACTCCATCTCTTATTAGGTAGTCTTCTTCTGTCTTTGACTTTCCCCTAGCAGCAATTCACATTAGGCAGGCTATGATCCAGTAGCAGGTCCTGAACCACTGACTGAGAACCAGTTACCTCTACCGTCTGTCACTCCCCAGAGTTTCAGATGGAGAGCGCTGTCCAGTCTTACTGGGAAATATTGAAGATTTAAACCTGAGACCTTCTGCATGTAAAGACTGAATCTTACTATTTAACTATGACCTTTCTCTTGAATGGTTCTAGATTTGAACACCAGGAAGGTGCCTTCTGCAAGCAAGTATTCTGCAGTAACTCTGCTGCTCTTCTGTCCCATCAACCAGTATGAAACCTGGATATGCAGTGTAAAGTCTCTTAGATGCTGGGGATCCAATGCATTCCTTCCCCTTGCATAGTCATGATAAAGGCATCCTCTTTATCATTGGGTAGTTTCAGCAGTGGGATAGCACAGCTTAGCATACAGGAAGAATCAATCTAGGCAAGGTTTTCTATAAGGATTGGTATATTATTCAGGTCTTTTTGGCTTTAAGTTACAGTTTACTTTTTTCAAGGAAATAAATATTAAGTAAGTACCAAGAGCCTTTAATTGTCCACTATACACTAACACAAAGATAGAACTTACATGACAACTTTGACATTCAAGCATTTGTTTACCTGCTGTAAGGCATTCCAAGAGCCGGCCTCAATTATCATAGCAGCACTCAGGGGAGGCATTAGGTTAGCTGAGCATTTCCGAGGTCTGTTTCTATCAATTATTTTCTTCTTCTGATGTTCCATATATATTCTAGACCAGGATTTACATGTCTTCATCCACAATAATCTCTTTTCTTCAATAGAATCAGAAAACATGAGTGGCTGCTCAGCCAGACTGACTGAGTTTTCACTTTTCGCCCAGACATCAGTGGCTTCTTCATGACTCTCTTTTAGACCTAGCTCCATTTTCATATTTTCAGAAGCATACGGCTCATCCATTTGTCTAGTGTCTCCAGAATCTACGCTACTGTGTTTGCTAGGCACACTGCTTTCTTGATTAAGTAGTGTAATATTTTCCGTATTGAGAGGATTTGTGTTAATATTTCCCTGCAAATCTATAGTAGCCAAACAAAGGTAATTTATATCATTCTTTACTGATTTTTCATTATTTAGTTCAGTGAGATGTTCTTCTCTTCCAGATTTCAGTTTTTCATCTTCACTTCCTATATTGGCAAGTCCTACTTTCTCAAGTATTATATTATTGCCATCTACTTTCTTTTCCTCATGGCTTATTTCTTGAATTTGTTTATTCTCTTCCTTTTCCTTAATTAGTTGTGCTTTTTCATCAATATCTTTTTCTTTTTCCTTTAGCATTTGGATTTCTTTTTCCTTATCTGCCATTTCCAAAGTTGTACTGATGTTTTGTGGTTCTAAGCACCTTTTTATTTTTTCAGTTTTATTATCTTCTTTTGCTTTTCCTATTTCTTGTTCCTTCTTGGCCAGCTGAATGTCTTTGTCCATATTTTCAGAGTTTATTTTCTTTTCTATCACAGATTTGAGTTTAACATTTTCTTCCCTTTTCAGTTCTTCCAACATTAGTTGCTCTCTGTGAACCCTCATAATTTCTTTCTTCTTTTCATATTCTTCATACCTCTTCATCTTTGCTACATGCTCTTCCTTCTCTTGATCTTCTCGGATTTTTCTTTCTTTCTCTGCTTGTTCCTTCTTTTCTTGAACTCTCCTATTCCATCTTTCTTGCTTTTCTTTCATTTCCCTTTCCACAGCTTCTTGCAATTCTCTTTTTCTTTTTAGTTCCATTGTCTGTTGTTTCAAGATAGGAGCATATTTTTTATAAGCTGCAAATGCTCTAAATGTAGTTTGGATTTTTACAGCAGCCATATTTTGCCGTTCTCTCTGTTGTTGTCTTTCCATTGCTTGCTGTTTGTCAAAGGCCGTTTTTTCTTCTTGTATTTGTGTGTGTAGGTTGTTAATCAGTTCCTAAATCCAAACAAGGAAATATGCTTTTGTAAGAAGTATCAGCTTTATAGCTTAGAAATATATATCACAAAAATTGACAGTAATAGCTGCAAATTACCTATTCTAATATTGACAGGATAGGAGGGAGGCAAGAAGGAACATTATCTTTGGCAAGTCTACCAGTGTGCAAATCCTCATCCTCATTTTTGAATTCCAAGGTTGTAGACACATATTTGAAATACACACACACACAGTGTTTTCTATTTATAGTTCAATACATTGGTCTTATATTGACTAGTGCTCTGATATTATGTTTGTTTTCTCTTGCTTTGAATATCCCTCAGGAAAGAGATATGGGTTATAAATATGAAATGAAATTGTACTAAGAGGAGGAACTATCCATAAGAACAGTATGAGGTGAACCACACAAAAGACTATTGCTTAGGGAAGCAGAAGACAACTATTGGAAGCCTGGCCAGCAGTTTATTTAACTCTATATTTTTGCCACTTTGCTCTGAGCTGCTTCTCTGGATTTAATTTAATTTAACTAAATTTAATTAATTAAATTTAATTTAATTAAAATGCCATCCTTCTATGCCATCCTTTGGAACAAGCCTCAGGACGTCTTACAGAAGATAAAAATAACAATATAAATAACAATATAATAATATAAATATCATTAAAACATTCAAAGCAGGATTCGACTTCTCCTCTGGCTTTGCCTTAGACCAGGGGTCTCAAACTCAACTTACCTGGGGGCCGCTGGAAGTAGAGTCTGGGCCGCATCAAGTATTCCACCACTGCGGTGGTGGTGGGCCACTCATCCCGTGGCTGGCCCGGGCGCCACCAGCGCTTTGAAGGCTGGGCCCCTCCCCTGTGCTCCACCCATCCCGGCAATTGGCCCGTGGGCCGTGAGTTTGAGGCCCCTGCTTTAGACAGTCATAACCCTTAGGTTCATCTCAGTGTTCCTTCTAGACCACCTTGATCATGTCTTCAGCTTCTTCTAGTTTCAGTCTGAATTGAGCCTGAAAATGGGCTGACAGACAGTGTAGATGGAAGGGAACAGCTGTAATATGGTGGATCACATTGGCCAGTCTCTGTTAACAATCTCACTGTCTTATTTTGGACCTGCTGAAGTTTCCACACTTTCAAAGACAGCCCCATGTAAAACTCTTTCCAGTAATCCAATTAGGAGATGATCAGAACAGGGATAGCTGTAGCTAGGCTATCTCTGGGCAGAAAGGGATGGACTGGGAAATCAAACTAAGCTGATAAAAGGTGGTCCATGGATCTGAAACTACATGTATCTCTAGCGACAATGCTAGATCCAAGAGTACCCCCAAACTACAAACCTGGACGTTCAGGTGGAGTGAAACCCCCTCCAGAATCAGTACTTAGCAGGGTAGACAAATTACCACTAACAGTACCTCTGTCTTGTCAGAATTGAGCCTCAATTTATTGGCCCTCATCCTAGAGGACACGGCCTTATTCCAGAGTACAACGTGAATGCTAAATATTGGGCTTGGAGGTTCCCTCTCCCCCTCAAGTTCTCCTGAAAGAGAAAGTTTCACTTCCTGAAACTTTCATCATAGAATTAGTCTATTAAAACTAAACAAACTATGGTTCACATGACCCAATTCTTCCAGTGCCTGCAAGAACTGGAAGCCATGACTTGGACTAAGTATCACATTTTGATTGGCACAATTTTCATAAACAATCAGTTTGATATAGTGGCAACTACAGTTCCCTGTGAACTGGGAAGTCAGGAAGGATGCAGGAACATGTGAAAGGGAGAGAGCATTTATGAGCCAAGACACAATGCCATCATCTGAAAAATGAATTGGACATATGAATTGAATCATGCCATGCAGATTGCGGGATTATTTTTCCATACATAAATTACATCTCATATTTAACATAAATATTTTTTCAGCATTACCTCGTGGTGTCTTAGTTGTTCTTTCCAAGCTTCCTTCTCTTTCAGCAGTTCCTTTTCCATCACAGCCTGTTGTTGCTGTACAAAATACAGATCTCTATTACCCTGTTATTGTACTTTAGTAATATGAATAATATTGGAGTCTATACATTAACTTGTAGACCAATATGTTATGCAATCCTAATACAGTGAACATATTTTTAGTCTCATTGATTTCAGTGGGAGAGATAACTACAATTTTTAACTCTACAGAATCATTCTGGTCCTTTGGTAGCTGGTACTAGCTTTTAGAATATTATGTACACTACCAAAGCTAAATAAGGTCCCTTTTGTACCTTTAAAAAGCTGGTTGTTACAAAATAACTGTCTTCCATACATCAGTGTCAACCATTCAAGCAAACTCAGTAGCTTTCATATTTACGAAGAATCAAGCCATCAGTTTAAGTAGCATCTAGTTTAGCTACAAATGCTTTTTCTATATTGCGTTAGCATATATATCAATAGCAATCTCAATTCCGAGTGCTCCTTAGGTAGCCAATTCAGCACAATCCATGTACAAGATAAAAGTACCAGTCAAGAGAATCTCATGGTTTGCAAAAATACAAACAATCTTTAGAAAAACAGCCAATGTAGACAACACATGCTCAGTGGTCACAGTACCCTGAATGACTGCTGATGATTAAACAGAAAACTCAGTGGAAAAGGAAATGGCCTGGAGAATTCACACTATTTTTTTTGTATGATCCACTTGTTGTGCTAAACTTTGCATACCTCAACCTTCCAGTATTAAGATGTTTCTTTTATTGACATAAAATATTACCGCATGAAACATTTCTAACTTCATTCGTTCAGCCTCTAGTTCCTCCTGACGTAGTTTTCTCTTTTTTTCCTCTTCCTCTCTTAGTATTTCTTTCATATCCCTTTTAGCTTTCAGCTGCTTTATTCTTTCATGTTCAAGTTCTCTTTGCTTTTCTGCCCAAAGCTCATATTCTTGCTTGCATCGTTCTTCAACTTCTTGAAAAGAAAAGCTAATAAGGGTGTCTTCATCATCATCTAGGAGAATGAAAAAATGTAAACTTGGTAGAACTGAAAAGTTTTTTTCCAATAAAATGGTGTACAGTTCATGATAATTTTAAGGAATTTGCAAGATACTGAAAAATGTAAAATAAAGAGTTCATTTATTGCTCTCTGTGATAAACTAGTTTATAAACAGTTTTTTTTCATTATTCTAAGTGTAACTTGTGTCATCCAGGGCTGGCTGGTAGTACATTGGAACAAAGTAATGCATGATAAGCATATAATACAGTAACAGTCACTGATGACTGGAAATTTCAGCTGCACCTTATTCAGAAGGCCAGAAATTCAGATCCAATGCATGTTTAATTCAAAGAAATACTAACTTACTTAATAGGAAACTGCCAATAAATTTTCATGCGACTGCAATTAAAATAATATTTGTACACCATGATCATTCAGAACATTGTCATCAAAACACTGGATTCAGATACTGCTCCTGTTTTTTAAAAATTTATTTTCAAATCTATAGGCCACTGAATAGTCCTCTAAGGGCCCTCTAAGTGGCTAACAACATTAGAAACAGGCCAATTATAATTAGCAGAGTGACCTTTAACTATTAGGTGTTAAAATCAGATTTCAAAATACCTTTGAAAGAGGACATTTCTTGCCTGGCACCGAAATGAAAGTAGTGACGGCACCAGGCATCAGGTCCCAAGCCATTTAGGGCTTTGTTATCAATGTGCCCTTTCCACTCACCATTTCCATAGAGTTACAGCTCTAGAAGCAGCATCTACCTCTGCGTTGTACAAAATAAGACTAAAATTCAAATAAAGAGTTGTTTTGTTTTTTCAAAGCCAAATGCATCGACTTCTCTGCATCTCAGTCACTTACAGCCCAGCCCTATCTCTTACTTGGGCCATCCACTGAAATCAAATCTCATTGCTTTCAAGGAATATGTTTCAGATACTATGAGCTAAATGTTTACCTACTAATCCATTCAATGCAAAATTAGCCATTTGGATGGCATGAGGGAGTGGGGGAAAATGTTGGATGGCATGAGGGACCAGGGGAAGAAAAAAGCTTAAATATACATTCTATACAACTATTTGTGGTTGTTCACAACCATTGTTATTGATTGATTGATTGATTTATTAGATTTGTACTTATAAATAATTGCACTCAAGGAGTCTTAAAGAACAATAGATCAAGCAATAGACATAGCAATAAGACTCATTAAAACAGAATAAAATATAACAGAAAAAACAACAGCAAGCCCATAGACCCACTAACAAAACAAAGGCCTTCATACAAGCAAAAGGACAGGAGAGAGAGAACAAACCTAGATTTTCTTGGGACAGAGATCAACAGCCTGGGAATTACCACCCAAAAGGACCTATTCATATCATGCCAAGCATGTCCTTTAGAGATACTGAACACTATTCCTACAGAACCTGTTCAGAATATTTTAAGGACAAGGCAGGCTTGCATGGGAAAAGGCAGTCTTTCAGGTACCCCAGACCCAAGTCATATAGACATTTGTAGATCATAACCTTTTATTCATAAAGGAATGTTTTATTGTTCCCTTTCCTGTTTTATTTTAAGCTGACCAGAGAGTCCACTGGTCTATGGGATGACATATGAATACAATCAATCAATCAATACCCAGCACTTAACAGACAAGCAGCCAGTGAAGCTCTGGTCTGCTTTCAGCATTCAGCCAAATGAAGTTCTGGTCAGTTTTTCAATTACTTACAGCTAGTATTGCCTTTGGAGTAACATTTATTTTTTTTCTTTTTTAAGTACTGATACTGTGATTCCAGCTAATCAGGAATCATGTAGAGAAAATAATAGCATAACAATGCTACATAAACACATCTGTCTAATGATGTCACTGATGGGAAATGTAGCAACTGACCGTAAAGGTAATGAGAAATGTATTGCTTTGTCCTCACTGATGAAATTCTGAATAGCAAAATGATGGAATGTGTGAAAACTTTCATTACTCTCAATTCTACTTTATAAAAAGGGAAGAGAACCTAATTAAAATAAGACACACACTCCAATAATTGCAAAAAACAACGGAGGAGTGTTCCTTCATTATGACGTAACACTAATCATATTTATTTATTTAATTTCTACAGTTAACAAGATGGTTCTCTGGACAGTTAAGACTGAAGCACTTAATTCTGAGTAAGCAGTATTTTGGGCTGAGCTTCAATTTTCTTTACCTGCCAAAGAACATCCATCAGCAATTTCATGGGAAGGAATGTTTCCATCATTGTTGGAATCAGTAGTATTATCAGGTGCTTCATTCATCTGTTGTTCCTCACGTTCTAT